TAGTTAAGGAATTTTATATTTTAACTTAACTAATTTTAGTTAAATTAGATTATGGCTAGGTTATAATAATTAGGTTATGCCACTTTAATAAATAATTTAAAAGATATTATCTAGGTAGTACTCTAATATTTTAATATTAATTTTTTTTTTAAGTTTTATTTTTAAGTTTTTTTTTAAATTTTTTTTATTAATTAATTTTATTTATATAGTAAAAATTTTAATCTATAGTTTTAATAATATATTTTCTTATAAATTTTCTTAAGTTTTAGATAACTGCGTTGCTAAGTTTTTAATATTTTAAAAATTTATTAATAGTATAAAACTTAATCTCCGTATATTAATTATTTTAAAATTATTAAAAAAAAATAATTTAAACTATAAAGATTTTTTTAAAATTAATAATTAATAGTCATAAAAAATATAATTCTAGAAAAATTAAATATATTTTAATTACTAGGAAACTTATATATAAATTAAAATAGAATAAATTATTTAAAGATTGGAATTCTTTATATAATTATCTAATTTTATATAATACGTTAGGCCGCTATTAAGCTATTAATACCTCGCTAACAGTAGGGTCAGTAGTTACCTAAGGCAACTGGAAAGGGTCGTTACCTAAGTAGACTGGCATTTGGCTAGGTTAGGTTAATTGTAATGGTTAAAAAATATACGACTAGGTTAAAGTATTATAAGCCTACTATTATATATAGAGATATATCTTATAAATAGTAATTATAATTAGGGTTTAGAGTATAGAATATAAAACCCTATATTACTTAATACGGTTAGCTTACTTTATAATACTTAACAGTTAAAAAATACTAGAAAAAAAGCTCTGGATATAGTAATTTTATAATTACCTTATATAGCTAGGGTAACTTAGAGCTAATCCTAAATTATATTTTAAGGCTTTATATATTTTATTAATTTTCAATTAAAAAACAGTATATTATATAGTTCTAGAGCTTTAAATACCATTATCTAAAGCTTGGTATTTAACCTAGACGGTTAAGAATAGCCACTCTATACCTAAGGCAACCACTGTTACAATAGCTAAAAAATCTACTTTCTAAGTTAATCAATTACTAGATGGAATCCCCTAGCTAATAATATATTTAATTTATAAAATCGGCTATATCTATAATATAATTAAACTTTTATATACAACACTTTAAATATCTTAAAATAATCTTTATAAATATGCTGATTTTGTATTGAAAATTCTTTTTTTTTAATATAATTCCAATGTACTATATAATTCTGCCTTAATAAATAAGATTAAAAGGCCTTTTAAAAATAGATAAATATTAAGTATTATATTTACACTGTATTTTTGGCCGATTGAGTTTAGCGTGAGGTCCAAATAACAAGTCCCTATCTTCATTAGCCACATATCACGTGACTCACAACCCACTTTGTTAGATTACTTTTGCAACACGTCTCCGTATATTGCGCAACATTATAGAATAAGTTATACTCATCGACTATACTGTAGCTGCTTTATATAATGGCAATTATGTAGCTTAGTTCTAGACAGCTTCAATCTCAATTGAAAGAAGTATACAGAGTACAAATGCCACTAAACTGCACCCTTGGGCTGCCTCTTAACACTTGTGAAAGGATAGTAATAATATTGTGGGGCGGCAATAAGGCCTCGAACCTTTACCCCACAAGGAATCTGGATAGTTGGCAATCGCGAACCCCGCATCTGTACTAGTATTGAGCAACCATGAGGTCATGAGTCCCCGTCTCGGCTTAGCTTGCTCACTGCTCAGTGGACAACAACAAGTCAAGTACGTTATAGGCCACGTCGGGTTAGATAATCTTCCTTCTCCCATCACTTGACTGTTGGCATTTGCTGTGCTATCAATCCAAGACTTGATTGATATTTCAACTCTTCTTGTCTGATGAATGCGAATATCACTGAGATCTACCTACAGCCAGCAGCAACCAACTGTACAAGAGCCCACTGATCGCATACTATCACCCCCAACACTCGGGATTATTGGTGAATCCTGACCCCGTCACAATAGGCCATTAAGGTATGTACATAACCTCATGTTATTGAGATGGTTCTTCTAGGAAACCTTAGCGTGCATAAACTTGATGTGGTTGTATGCAGCAGTATCTGATACTCCCTTGGATGCTCTTTGTATTTTCAAACACTGTCCATGACACATTTTGTTGGATACCCCTCGAACCTGTATCGCGAGTGGGCCTGATTACTCACCAGGGTGGAGGGTTATTGTGTGAAGTCATCCTGTTATTGCTTTGCAGTCTACTCTTGACCCCGCTAATGCTCTCCTATATTACAGGTATCTCACCTTGTTCCGGTGAGTGTGTTGATATTTAAAACATAGGCAAACGTTTTTACAAGTGAGTTTGCCATATCCTCGCCTTCGAAGCTTGTACTGGACGTTCTAATATTATTTATTCTTAAACCTATCTATATCGCTGACCTGTATCCAGTGACGCGCTCCCATAAAGTAAATGATCGTGACTATTCCATACTTCATGATGGAATAGCTGTATCTCAAGAGCATCTTCCTCGCTACCTTGCAAAGTCTGGCCCCGTTGATGCTGATCCCCGAAAGACAAAAAAAGATGGCGGGGGGAAGAGGAACTGGTGAGGAATCTTTTTCAGCCCATCCCCGCTCTCCAGTTGAGTTTTAGTACTGCTCATCCGCAGTATCAGGAGCTGATCGCAGAGCACTAAACTGAATGACGCACTAACTGTATACTTAGGGGTCGGTCGGGCGACGAAGTCCACGACTATGATTACACATTCACAAACGCTCGGCGCCATTCGAATAGTAGCACTCAAGGAATAGCGGATTTTCAAACGAAGTTTGAGACGATTGAGCCAGAGCCTGTGTTCGAAGAAAGCTTCCACAGGGTGCAAGATGAGGCGAGTTCTGCGGATGGAAACAATGTGATTAATGTTGACAGAGCTACTAACCTCGGTAAGACACTGGTATAACAGGGTCATGAACTGTATCCCATATGTGTGTTGGGAATGCTGCAACTATTTTCACCAAATCCCTAGCAGTAGATTTTGTGCGGCAGAATTTAAACTCATTGCGAACAAGAGAAAATGCTATTCATAATTCAGAATGTCTTAACAAGTGATGGACGAGTAGATAATTAGCAGAAATACGAGGACCGTGATAACAAAATCTGCCTCTGTATTCGGTCAAATTACATATAATAGCTGCAAGTGCATAGGTAATCGCGCTGACATACCCGTCTAAGCTAGTTTAGCATTGTGCAACCGGGACCAATCAAAGGTTAAAGCCAATTTAACCGCGCTTTACTAGACCCCTCCCTTTGTTGTGGGGACCGCTCCTCCTGCTGGTTGTTGTGGTTGGATTCCTCCAAAGTAAAAGTCGGATGGATTGGGGTTGATGCGGACTCTTCTGCAGAGGCGCGAAGATTTTTGAACCAAAAGTCAAGCCTTCCTTTTCCCACATTTTGATGTAGCATTTCATTCTCCCTTTCAAGATCATGCATGATTCGTGTTCGTTGCTCTGGACGAAAGCGTGCCGAGAGAACTTCAGAGTCCGATCCGTTTAGAAAAACATCATGTGGAGAGCTTGGAATGTACAGAGATGCGTAGCTAGCGTCTTCATTGTATCCTGCTAGAGGTGTTAGTTCGTCCAGTGACCGTAAGTGACCCCAACGTGGGTACTTACTGTCTTTTAGACATAGACCCAGAGTACGGAAAAGGGCTGTGTCGTAAATGAAGGGCTCGCTTTCATTGTCCATGCTCTCGGCCGCCCGTCCTGTAGCCACCCAATTGTCTTTTATCATACACCGTCGCCACACCAGCTTCTGCATAGTAATAGGGTTGAGTGAACCTTGCTGAGCATAAGTTCCGAGACGGATGACACGCAAGGCCAGGTAGAACTCTTTCCCGGATAATTCTGATTGGCTATATTCCGATGCTTGGTCAGAATCCATTAACGTCAATATATCGACCAGTTGGTAAATGTCAATGATTTGCCTAGTGACAACTTTGGTGAGGGTTTCACTGAGTAGTTCATGCAGGGAAGGCCTATCCTCAGCAATCCCTTTTCCAAAGTGGTCAATTGCTAGGTCGACCTCGGCTCTTTGATCAATTGCACCCTGTAACGCGGGGGAAATACAGGCGTAAATGAGTTCTTGGACGGCATCTATTTCAGAGAGATCTTCTAAATGCCGTATGTCGTTGTGAAAACCAGAATGACTCGATATATTGGTCTCTTCCCATGTTGCTAGTTTGGCAAGCTTCGCTAGGGATAGTTCGACACGATGACTCCATAAATCAGATTCCACCCCTATTGCGAGTTTCTCCAGCGACTGAGCGGCGGCGCTGTAGTCAATTTCACCAATTACATCATTGATCCAGCCTAGCCTCGAATAGGCTGCATCCTTACGCAAGAATCGGGTGATAAAAGGTTGGAATTTCTTCATGGCGAAAAGTATTCCCGACTGACGCATCGATAATTGCCGTGAAAAAAATGCATTTGCCCATGATTCACCGAATTTCTCAAAGTAGAGGGATATTTTTTTGTTGAGTTGATCGGACTCACAGTTGATAGAATCTGATGCATCGTTTCGGGAATTTTGGGGGAGAATTTCGCCCTTTGTTTGATCTTGGAGCTCAATGATGAGCTCTACCAATGCACTCATGTCTCGAAACTTTTCCGCCAACGTAATTGCATCCTCCAATCTTCCAATACCGGCAAGTTTGAAGAGTCGCCACTTGCGTTGTTTAACATGGGCGTGCTCAGTAGCGATGCCCTCATCGACCAGTTTTGGGTCCTCTTGGGCAGAGAGCCACCGAACCCGCTCACAGTGCATTTGGCCTAGAACATAGAGTTGTCTGGCACCATTTCCCGCAATTTTTTTCACTGTTAGGCTTTCGGGGGCTTCGGTGACAGATGTTGCTTGTTGAATCCAAGCCCTGCAACTATCGAGTTCTAGATCCAACAAATGGCCTGTTTCAACGTAACTGAAATTCTGAGACGTCCAAAATTCCGGTAGGTCTTTGAAGCCGGTTACTAGTACGCCATCTTCGAGATATCCATCGCGAATACCGTACCGACTAGCGTGCTCATCGCGGTATCTGAATGCGGTCTCCAAGACCGCCAGAGAAAGCTCACTTGCTTCTAGTATTTGTTCTGACATCTTTCGTCCCTGTCTCGACGAATGCCCTTTCTTTGGCTTAATGGCATTGAAAATCCATGGAACAACATGCTCCATCTGGAATGTATCGTGGAGAAACCAGCTGCGGACGGGGTCAACCTCGCCGTCTTGCTTTTCGACTCGTGTTTTAAATTTGTCACTCATCGAATTGATAACATGAGCAAGAAACGTAGGTCCCTTGCCCTTCAATTTCCTAGAATTTTCTTCTATCTTCCACATAGCCCTCTGAGCCGCAAGTTTCTCCGCGCCCCACAATAACTCCCACCAGGTTTGTTGACTCAATGACTTATTTTGTTGCACCAAAAGGTATGCCAGGTCATCCAAAGCTTTTGCTCTCGATCGTAGATTCTGTTCTAAGGAGATTGCTGTCGCTGGGATGAACTTTGATGTAGACTGGAGCAACTCTCTGCAAATATCCAACGCGGCTTGCTCGATATCCGTGACAGAGAAGTCCAGGCTACTCTTATTGTTCAAATTCAGTGGATTTCCGAGCATGGTACCATAGAATATGGCTTGTTCGATCTTTTGCTTAGCAGTGATTCGAACACATTCAGCGGTGGAACACGAGTCATAGCGTGGTAAAGCTGTAATGCGGATGGTACCAAAATCACGGACCATTATTAGACATGCGGGGCACGAGTTCTCATTGTTTTTGTCTTCAAAGCCGCTGCCTAAAATTTCAAAGGCCTTTCCTGAGCGGAAACTGATAGAGTCCTGGAACACCCGCTGTTGTTGAGGTTGCGCGGACTGGTGCTCAGTTGAACTCAACGATAAGAGTACAACAGAGTAATCCATTAAAACAAATGCCATATCACCTGGCTTCGGGAGATATAATTTCGGTTTTGAATCAAGACCCGCCGAGACCCCATGCAAATCAATAGGGTGGGAAGACAGGATATGGACTTCCTCGGCTAGATTGACTTGCACAAGGGACATGCTTTGCGAACCCATCCCAGATTGAGTTACAATGAGTGAGAGATGCCAGGATGCTACCGACACGCTACCTGGTAGCTCACGAACATTGCACTCAGCTGGCATGAGTGAAAAGTCCAAGATCTTGATGTTGGAGTCGTCAGATCTGTTCGAATCTTCCGTACCAAGGTGACGACATAGGTCATCTATAATATCAAACTGTTTCTTCAATATACTCCCGTTATTCCAATGTGTATCCCAGATTTCAAAAAGACCGCCTGATGTAGCGATTATAATGTCTCGCTGTCCACGTTGATGAGATTCACCCGCTCTGACGGCAGCTAGATCTTTCCTTGAAAACCCTCCACCCAAGGCGTTTCTAATACCACCGAAAAACCCAATCTTACCAAGCCCGGACGTATTTCGCAAGAAATTGACAGTCACTGTCGGCTTTCCCTGTGGATCCCGAACGGTGATATGAGCAACCCTCCCTGACGATAATGTAACGATGATACCAGAAGGCTCGCCATTCACGAGATCTGTGATGTGTTCACCTGAGAGTAGATTAGGTATGCATCCCTGGAAGGTCTTCTGCTTCTGTCTGGCCAGGCCCAGTGATGCAGCACATGAGACAGTTTCCCAGTATGTGATATTCCCTGTGTCAGGAGCGACGATCATAAGGCCTGGAATCCCAGCTGTTACAGTAGATAGTAGGATTCCAAGAGGAAGTGGCCCATTTGGCTCCCTGTAGGATTCGGGTATGGAAATAGTAAACACATCGGCGGGTGGGGGCGAGGAAGTAGTAATTGAGTATGGCCATATGATTGCATGGGAGTGCGTCATGGCTAAGGCGTAGCCATTGCCTGCACCAAAGAAGCATTTATAAGATCCTGCGTGTTCGTGTTAACAATATGAATGGCGGGGAAATAAGTCAGACTTGCCTGATTGTAGTCCGCGGATCTGATCTGGCAGAGCCGGTAATTGCAAAACATTGTAAAAGTCAGTTTTAGACTATGTGTAATAGCATCAGCGACCCTGTTATTCTCAACATATGTAGGAGAGCCAGAGTATGATCAAGCACAACTTACGAGGACAATGGTCCCATCAGCTTCGCCTCGCCTCTCTAGCTTCTTTGGACCTCTAATTGGCATGCTCTCTTGAAAAGTAGCATTGTCTGCGGTGTCGAGGTCTTGGGAAGCAAGTGTAGTTGAACAACTTCCATGCGCGCGCAGCTCACTTTGGTCCTCTAAACAAATATCTGAACTACCATGGCGCAAACTGGACCGTTGTCTTTTGGCTTTTGGAGGGTTGACAGGTTCATCAGAGCTTGTACGTTGGCGTCGTCGAGGATTGCGCAAGGAGGATGCCGACGAGATCGCGGCTTTTGGCAAAAACATTGTCGGAGACTCAGGAAAACGTGAATATGGCCGCTGCAGAATCGTATTGTACCTAAGCCATTAGAGAACCGAGAAGTAGAGGAAGAGGAGAGGTATATTTTAGGTAAATAAAGTACAGTCTTTTGTATTGATTAGGTCGTATCATTAATGGAGATAATTTGTTAATTGATTATGTAGGCGGTCAGCGCTTTCCCGTCTCTGTATGGATTTAATCACGTGCTATACATTGCGATACTAGCTGTTGCTTAGATATTAGTCCTTGGTCAACATAATGGAGAGCTATTTATATGGGTCTATCCTATGCATCACGATGCTTACATATTATACTATTAGTGTTTCCATGAGACACCATAGGGTTACACTTCTCGACAGCTTTTAAGATGTTCTCTACCTCTAGCTTAAATTATACTTTGTACATAAAAAGTACCCTGCATCATGTATCATATCGCCCACTATTCCTCATCAGATGCCAAAGAAGATGGTATACTGTTTCTAACAAGACTACCTTACGCACAGCTCTTTTCTTTCCAGGTCTGGACCAGTCAGCCTCCTGCCACGGGTTGTCATTTTGGCTAACGGTTTGTTAGGTCATGGAGTACAGCGCGTTGGAATGGTGTCTTCATGGATCAATAACTTTCCAGACATCGCTGGGAGTTTCTTAGATGAAATGGATACTGTATTGGGGTTTCGACTTTCTCGTGTTATTGCCGAAGGACCGAATTCTGAACTGAATAAAACCGAGAATTCCCAACCTGCTATCATGGCGACGTCAATATTGATCCTTCGGATCTTAGAACAAAAATTTGGGTTTGATACGAGATCTCGTGTGGATGTCACCCTTGGCCATAGCCTGGGGGAGTTCTCCGCACTGGTTACTGGAGGCTATCTTGATTTCAGCGACGCTTTAAAGCTAGTCCGACGGCGAGCAGAGATCATGGCTCAATGCACTCGAAATGCCTCCACGGAATCTGGCGAGGATTACGGAATGGTGGCACTTGTCTGCGAACCTGATCATCTTGACGGTCTGCTTGCAACAATCCAGGAATTCCTGGGCCTTGCATCAACTGGTATGAAAGATGATTTAAATTACGGAACGCCGCCTATTGAGAAGGTGATGGTGGCAAATGTCAACTCTAAAAACCAAATAGTGTTGAGCGGAAGCATTGAAAGGATAAGAACTCTTCTCATTCAACTTCGCCAGTTTGGAGGTCACGATCCACGTGCAGTGAGAATAAACAGTGAAAGCCCGTTCCACAGTCCCATAATGATGCCTGCGGCAGAATATATGACGCGTGCTCTTGACAACATAAAACTCAACTTCCCAGCACATATTCCGTGTGTTTCAAATGTTTCTGGTCTTCCGTTCCGCTCAGAAGAGGAACTAAGGAGGCTGCTTTCACAACAGTGTGTTGAGACCGTGCGATGGTGGGACAGTATCAGGTATTTAGATCAAGAGAGGGGGGTAAAGCGTTGGATTGGCATTGGGCCCGGGAAAGTCGGCAGGAATTTAGTTGGAAAGGAGGTCGGTAAGGTAATGGCTAAAGGAGGTGGTGTTTGGGCAATCTCTGATACTCGCGAGCTTGAAGAAATTTTCAGGAGTCTCGAACAGACTGAATTCGAAGCTTCGTGTGATTAACCCGTCACAGGCACAGGTATGCTTAGGCTGGTGGATTCTATGTTGTCAATTGATTATTTTGATAGTACTTACACACGCAGCGACAGTACGGCAAGGCAAATAAATGCTTTTCAATTGTACCATAAACTAGCGGTTTTGGAAGTTCATCCGTGTCAATGCCACAAACATGATAATGACGACTTACCGCTTCTTGCCATTTCAATATTAACTTGGACTAGCTGAACCGGGCTAATAGAATTAACATTTTAGCATATAATCTGTCTCACTGACTATTATAGGTTATGCCCAACCTTGCTGTATTCTAGACCTGTAAATGATCATGAGCCACAGTTATTCCTTTGACATACCTAGAGAATCGGTCTCTACCATAGAGATCGCTTCAAAGTATAGTCGCATCTACTCCCCATGTTTCACCAATATGCTTGACCTCCGCAATGAATTTATGGTCTGTGATTTGCAAAGAATTCGACGCAGTGGCAGCAGTTTTGAATGTAGGGACATGGTCATCCGGAGAATAAAACGGGTTCTGAAAAAGCCGAATATAGGCTGTCTGCAAGGCTCTAAAAACCTGATAGTCCATCGTTAATTTGGACATTTACTAGTGCGTTGAAGTCAAGAAAAGAGTATTCGACATAGACTATCCGTGGCAGAACTTACCGATTTCAGGTCTGGATCTTTGGAACTAGTCCTCGGAGACCCTTTCTGTTTCTCGATGCTGCTTGGAACAGGTTGTCCGATCAAATCAACAATCACCAGTAATTTTACTCCAGTAGTTGTTAGCCAACCATATGCTGCTAGCTTTTCATCGACAGCGTGTAAGAGGCCTAGATCTTGATCGACTGAGGTTTGCTTCTGCCGAATCTCGAAGATATCAAGACAAGAGTTCAATAGAAACGAGAATTCAACAGTAGAATTCAAATAAGGAGGGAAAAGCGAGATATGCAAAGGATTGTCCTTCTAGAGCATTAGCATGCCATCTTAAACGAGCCATAGTTATCGTACAGCTTTTCCAATAATACCGATGCAAGCAATTTTCGGTCCTGACATTTTGAAGAAATATCTTTATCTAGAATGATCCACTGCGGTACAAATCGTGTTTCTTTCTGAAGGCATTCGACTTCAGGGAAACTTCACCTGGGTAGATTTGGCTCCTCGTCTGCAAAGGTGGTTGGAAAGTACTGTACATCGGCTGAATGAACTTGTTGCATACAACTCAATTTAGTACTACTAGTATGTAAGTGGGTAGGTCCGTGGTAGATAAGGAAGATTGAGTACAAGACGGTATTAAAATAGTCCAATTATGTAGCTTAGAATGTAACTTACCTACCTGGTAGACACTTACACCGATACCTCTTACGGTATTGTATGTGAAATAAGCCTTACTGCATTATTTTCTGGTAAATTTTCAGTATTGTAACTGTAAAGCAAAGGCTGGTGTACCACTAGTGCAGAACCCCAAGCCCGGAGCCGCAACGCTTGCCTTCTAGTATCATAATTACCACTAGCAAGCGACATTGAAGTCGTTGCAACATCTTTTGGCACTCAACCCAAGGATCTTCTGAAGGAGTCACATAATAAAGCCAGCTACAGCTGCCATGCTTCCTCTAACCGCGCGCGCCCTTCCGGGCGCCCTTCATGGTGAGCAATTCGCTGCTTGCGAGTCTTTTGAGCTTCGCTAACGTTGAGCAGCACGACCACGCTTGGTCTCATCGATTCCTCGAATCCAACTAGTTGCACGCTTGTCAACTACCCCCAACAAATCGGCCACAGCACTTGAGCAACAAGGACATTCCGGTCAACCACTGACGGCTTCTGGAAAGATACGGAAGGAGGTACCTCTGCCGAGCCAGGAGAAGAAAGAGGGTGCGATGCAATATGTGCTGTTTGTGTCCCTGAGGATTTGAAAATGATATACGTGTCTAACGTTGTACTTAGGACTACCTTGGACCAAGTTGCCAACTGGGCACGTCAAAGCTCTCTTTGGCCTATGACTTTTGGTCTCGCTTGCTGCGCTGTTGAGATGATGCATCTGTCTACTCCGAGATATGATCAAGATCGCCTAGGAATTATCTTTCGAGCCTCTCCTCGCCAGTCAGATGTCATGATCGTCGCTGGGACGTTAACGAACAAGATGGCACCCGCTCTTAGGCAGGTTTATGATCAGATGCCCGACCCACGTTGGGTCGTTAGCATGGGCAGCTGCGCAAATGGTGGTGGCTACTATCATTACAGCTACTCCGTTGTTCGTGGTTGCGATAGAATCGTGCCCGTTGATGTTTATGTTCCTGGATGTTCGTTTACCCCCCTGACTATGCATTCTCCTTGATGATTTTCTTTAAATGTTTGCTGACTGCCAACCTGAAGGCCCACCGACCTCCGAGGCATTGATGTACGGAATCTTCCAACTCCAGAAGAAGATGAGGCACACCAGAATCACGCGCATGTGGTACCGCCGCTAAGTCTTTGGTAATATGTTCTATCGTCCTATTCGAGCTCAAGGGCCCAATTAAGGTAGATGTACAATTAAAATCATTTTCTATGTTAGTCAATAAGGCAGGCTAGTTGCTATTTATATCTGCAGAGTATTACTTTGTTCGTTAGAACTCTTTTACTGCTTCTGTCACACTACTGTATGTTGTTAAGGCATCCCGTTCATTATATACACGAGTGGATCAACATGTCTTATATTTGAACAGCTGAGGGCCAGTTAAAGCTGAGAAGAGATCGTCTTGTATTGAGAGATGTCCCCTCAGGCAAGCGCCCCTGCCTGGCTACCCATTGACAACAACACCTCCATTGGGATGCAAAGATTGTCCCGAGATATAGCTGCTATCTTGGCTTGCTAGAAAGACGAAACAAGTAGCCACTTCACTGGGTTGTCCCGGACGGCCCATCGGCACACTGCTGAATTGATCCATTGCCGAACTAGTCATAGTTGATGGGATCAGAGGCGTCCAAACTAGATAGCGGTTAGTTCTCGTGTAATTGCTAGACGAGGATGAGCTTACTCGGGCCAGGACAAACACAATTCACCCGTATACCTCTCCCAACCTGCTGATTAGACAAGCCCCTGGTGAATGCAACGATTGCACCCTTGGTTGCTGTGTAGTCAAGGAGGTCAGGTCGACCGATGTATGCGTTGATAGACCCACAGTTTATTATAGTTGAGCCACTTCCCATATGCGGAAGCGCATACTTGGAAAGGTAGAAAAATGGATGGATGTTGGTATCAAATGTACGCTCCCACTGATCTCTATTAGTTGTAGATTAGTTTTGATGGCTTTAACATTGACTGTCGGGTAGCGAAGTAACCGTGTTATGATGTAGCCACAGGTAGTTTTCCACTTACTCTTCAAGGTCACTAATGTCCCCAACCATATTCTGGAATCCCGCGTTGTTCACCAAGATGTCTATGCCACCCATACATTGCACAGCAGTATCAACCACTTTCCGACAATTTTCCTTCTTGCGGACATCCACAGCTAAGCAGTGACAGTCATTTCCTGTGTCCTGAACCCTTCTTTTTGTCTCTTGTGCGTCTATCTCCTCTTCTGGTAAGTAGATAATCAAGCTGGATGCTCCTTCCATTGCAAACAAAATAGCAACGGCGCGGCCAATTCCAGAGTCACCACCTGTAATGATGGCTCTTTTCCCAGCAAGCTTTCCTGCTGCCTTATATGTCTCATAACTTCCTTCCACGGTCGGTATGTGTGTTGATACCGGTTTGGGGTCCTCCAGTTCTTCCTGTAGCCCAGGCTTCTCCTGATGTTGAACAGGGATTTGATGGCCTGGGATAACCGATGAGTGACCTAGTTCGATAGACTCCGCGGGGTACAGGCTTACCTGGTTGAAACTGGGATTCAGTGCCACGAGCGGCTCTTTCTGTGTATTCTTGCATGATTTAGGCTGCAACTTGACCTTAAGGTACTGGTTGGGTAGGATGAGAAGGCACAGTAGGAGATATTTCTAATTGAGAAGGTTGGAATTACCTGGATATATAACTGAGGGTTACCATGCATTATATATCCTCGAAACTACTATATCGTCATGCTAATAAGTGCGTCAGAGTGACGTCTCCTCAACGTACATGACAAGTCTGGAGAGCCCTCTCTTCTCACTCGATTGCTTAGTCTACTTCACAGAGTTGCATTTCTTTCGATTTTCATTTTCATTGCAGATCTATGATTGTGGTGGTTGAGGGTTTGAAGGAGCCTGATCTCGGTGCATTTGAGAGTGGTGTCCGAACCAAGCTAAAACTACCCCACTACCAGGTATATTTATACTGCAGTTCAAGTAGAGGCTTCCTCGTACTCTGTATGGAATATTTCCTTTCGGCATCCTCGACTGCAATCTATCATGCTTAAAGTCAAGCACTGGTCCAATTGCTGCCTATTGTTTGTATAATATCAGTCTTCAGTAGTGTTACTCCGAGCAAAGACAGTGTACGAAGTGAACCAACACTATGGATGGCGATTCATTTTTACCCCATTATCATATTATTCCGCCCTCGACTTGACAATATCAATTATATGGAGCATTGGGTGACTAGTACTGTCGGTATGATGTCCAGAACACTGTAATAGTATCTAGTGATTTCTAGCTCGGGATTGGTATTTATTGTACTGTACATACACCATCACGAACATGCCCTGGAATGTGTGTACGTACTTCCATACTACGAAAGTTGTATCAAGAAAGACACTTCTTTTGGACTCGGCCACCCCTTCTGAAAACTTCATACCTTTATTGCCTATTAGAAAGCGTTGGCCGATGATATGATTAAGATTAAATCTAGTCTAAAAGGGTAGTAGTTTAACAAAATACTTATCACCAACGTCTATGAAGATGTATATCAACGGTCACTAGTCTGCAGTCTAACATTGTATATATGGCCAATGGTAAATTAGTAGTATGTTATTAAACTAAGATCATATAACTGTAGATCTACTGGAATAAGGACGTATAGTATACTACTCTACCTTGAGCTCGCGACGACCTATCTATGCCGCGGCCCTAAATTTAGTATATATAGTTAGTTACTCTATCTGCTTTATAAAGCCCCAGAAGGAGGTTGAGGTAGGGCGCGGTGTAGAGACTAAGGTGCCGATACTATGTATGTTGTACGAGATAAACAGGGTATATACAGTGGGATATCAAAAGTTTGAAACCAATCGCTTGGCCGCCCTATATACCGCCATATTTCAATCTACCAAATTCAGTGCATTGAGCCTACATACTCCGCTAATATCTATCTACATATTAATTATAGCTTCTAGAGAGGAGATAGATATCAGCTATTAAATTTTGACAGCCGGTATAGTAAGTATTAAGACCTAGGGATAGAGTTTACAAGGTTCCTGCCCTGTACAATAGGACAATTAGAAAGGGGTTAAAGTGGGCAATAAATGGACAGTTTCAAACTTTTGACATCCCACTGTAGAGCATTTACCCTAAAGGTTGTCCTAATCGGTCATACTGTCCACCTCGTGTGTTCCTGAAGCGACCTGTGGACCAGAAACTCGGTATTATCTAGGGATAACGAATATTGCAACATTGCCACTAGTATATAAAGGCACGAGTGCAAATATGTCTACTCTGCATACTTAGATTATACTAGTATTGCACACGCATGGACTAGTAAACCACTCATGTCAGGTGTCCAGAGAGCGTATGAGTTTATTCGAATGTGGTAGGCGGTCAGTTTAATATTTTTCTTTTTCTTTTTTTTTTTCTTCGTTATCCCTCATGCTTCCGGCGGTTAAATTGCATTTGATCAAGATTGGATGGATTTACATTTTTTTTTAACGAGAATCAAATCGGTTTCTTCTCTTTCTACATTGAATACACACTCCCCATATCCGCTCAAACACCTACAGACACCTACATATTCTTTTGGTCTCACGGCACTTCGGACCGTCACGGTGCCATGGCTGGTTTTGCAACGGATCCTGCCCTCAACGCAGCATTATCTGCTCCCTGGGCGTTTCTCTGTCCCACATCAGAACTAAACGACACCCTAGTAGGATCGGCAAAATATTTCCTGGACCCTCTTGCTCTTTCGATTAGTGACGCCCAGTCGGTTCGCCAACGACAAAATAGGAAACGCAAAAGAGGCGAGGAAGACCTAGACAAAAACACGGATGTATTGCAATTGAAGCAGTTATTCGTGGAGGGGTTCGGCTCTGATCAAATCTGGGAACAAGCACTTAGAATCCTTGACTCAGCCGGACAGGAAGTCCAACGTGATTGTACGTTAACTATTCGACATGCTGACCACTCCACATCGGAGGAACAATTCACATCTTTCGAGGGCTCGGATTTTGCGGATGAAAGTTCCGAAGACAGCGAGCTGGGCAGTCATATAGACGGTACCAGGAATACGTTAGATGTCGATGAGGAAGTCAGTATGGCGTCGGATCTCGACCAAAGCGACACGGTACATGATGCACTGGACGCCCGAAGCATTGACGAGATTCTGGACGAGAAAAATAACTTCAGTGAAACTGGCAGTGATGGAGAACAACCCGACACGTACAAAGAAGACCCTTTTGGGTTGAATGATGGATTTTTCTCAATTGATGACTTCAACAAACAATCAGAACTATGGGAAAGCCAAGACACTCGGGGTGGCCCAGATAATGAATCTGAGAGTGACGAAGAAGTTGACTGGCATGCTGATCCCCTCACCACTGTTCCTAGTGGCGCTCCTTCGAAGAAAACGCCATCATCAAATGAGACCAACAAGGGTGTGGATGATGATGACGCAAGCGATGAGGAAGGGCCAATATTCAACAATGTCAATCTTTATGATGAGCTAAACTCAGATTCAGATGATGCAGATCCTGGTACTGTACATGGGGCGGATTGGGTCAATACTAGTGATATCAAATATTCCGACTTTTTTGCGCCGCCACCCCGAAAGTCTACAACCAAAAGGTCACGTCCTCTCCCAAAAACCCAGCCAGTTGCTGCAATCAACAGTAACGATATAGATCGTGCAATGGCCGATGTACGACGCGATCTCTTCGAGGATGATGCTTCAATTGAGAACAGTGATGTAGATGATGGTGAACTAGGTGAACCTGAAACCCAGAAATCCACACACGAGAAACAACGTGCACGAATCGCCGATGAGATTCGTCGCCTGGAAGCTGCCAGCGTTGCAAAGAAAGAATGGATGCTTGCTGGTGAAGCTAGAGCTGCTGAGAGACCCGTAAATTCGCTTATTGAGGAAGATCTTGAAGTGGAAAGAATTGGAAAGCCCGTACCTGTGGTCACTGCGGAGGTCTCTGAAGATATCGAAGGCCTCGTCAAGCGCCGGATCCTGGCCAGGGAGTTCGATGAAGTTATCCGCCGCCGTCCTGGTATCACTGATGGCCAGATTGCGAGAAAGAGCCACTTCGAGCTTGAGGATTCTAAAGCTCAACAGAGCCTTGCAGAGCTCTATGAGACTGATCATCTCCGAGCTACTGATCCTAACTATGTGGATCCTAAGAATCAGAAGCTTATGCGCGAACACGCTGAGATCAGTACTCTATGGAAAGAAATAAGTTCTCAATTGGATACCCTCTCAAACTGGCACTATAAGCCCCAAACCCCACACGCACACATCAACGTCGTTACTGATGTGGCAGCTATCATGATGGAGGATGCGCAACCAACAGCTGGAGGTGCTGTTGGCAGTGCAGCAACTCTTGCCCCCCAGGAGATCTATACACCCGGGGCTGATGGCAAAGCTTCCGGGGAAGTCGTTTTGAGGAACGGATTATCAATCTCCAGAGAAGAAATGACCCGTGAGGAGAAGTCAAGATTAAGGCGACAACACAAGAAGCAAAAGAAATCTACCACCGGCCTTAAAACCCGACAGCCAGGAAAGGCAGCTGAGAAGCAACAAATTGTGTCTGATTTGAAAAAGGGTGGTGTTAAGTTGATTGGAAAGCAAGGAGAAGTCACAGATATCCATGGCCAAAAACCAACTGGAACAGGTCCCAGGAGTGGTGCTGATGCACTAAAGCTGTAATTGATTTTTATCTCATATAATCTTATGTACAGTATAGGTAACCGAGGATTGGTCTTGATTTATTCGAGTTCCCGATTTTATCGATCTATTGCCCACGTACATATCTACTCTCACTTAAACGCCTTTCTTGTTCCCTTCAATTAACTCTTTCTTCATCCTTTTAGACAGGCGTGCCCGATTTCAAACGTATTGAATAGAGAAAAATGTTTTCTCGCTTGTAAGTCTCCGCCATCGGGTCATCGCAAACCTCGACGATGTCGAATAGCTTCTTCGCCAATTTCATAAAACGGAGATCTGCTCGTCTACGTCTCTTGAAGCAGAAATAACAAATAGATTCCGGACCCAGGAGGTTTTTGAGAGTAGATATCAGCAAAGCAAAGGCCGGCTCAAAATAGACACAATCCGCAGCAAGTACGATAGCGGGGTGTGTCGGAATACAATCCGGAAGGGAATCCCCCCAGTTTAGCACCGTGGCAGCAACGCGAGAGGAAAGGTTGTTCAGCTTGATGTTGGCCTCCATTAATGGGAGCATTGGTGCTTGGTCCGTGATGTATACTGATGACGACCCCATGTCGCAACCGCGTGCAACAGCAAGTCCCACGAGACCTCCGCCAGCTCCCAACTCGACTCTAACAATGCAAGTCAGTACTATAAACCCTTCGTTTTTATTGAAACTTAGATGCTGGACGAACATTGCCTTATTGTTAAAGTCAGATCGATGCTGATGTAACAAATATCTTGCTAAGACCATGCCTGCCGGCCATAGCTGGCCTCCGCATCCTTCCTTAAGATCTTCCTTGAGTATTAGGGGTTCTTTCAGTAGGCCGTCAAATGATATTTCGGCGTAGCTAACTCTTTTGAGATCTCTTGCTGGCACAAGCGACTCGCTAACATCGAAAGAATCACTGAGCCCTGATTGTTGGTCGGGAGAATTGGAACTTTCCATCATGCTCAACATAGAAAAATCACAATCAAAGAGCTAGTAACAAGGACTGCACTCACACAGGAGCCGTACTGTTTTGATTTTGGTCTCTCAAACGAAGAATGTCGTTTCCAATGGGCAGTACAGAAAGAAAGGCTCAAGGGAGAAAAACATAAATGAGCGGGTAGCCAAAAAAGAGAATATTTGTTGCTATGCAAATTGAAGGAATACAGCTTGATTACGGGGTAGTGGGTTAGGGCAGGAAAGCACCAATTAGACTGAACATAAAACCTACATAGTATCAATACTCATTGTTGCTCTGTAATAGCATGATCCCAAATGTTGAGGTATAAATATTTGAAACAAATGGAAAGTAAGGATAAATTAAATGTGTGTATGTGTATATATAAGAGTATTGTACCGTTGTCTGGCCACCTAGAATAAAATTACTGTGTCTATTAAATAATACAGCTAGTGTGTGGAGTACTTTTGGAAAGATATAATGATACCGCCTTGGCATGATTGTTGGTAGTTTAAAACCTGGAATGAATAGTTATTAGTAAGGTCCTGTACTCTCAAACTACGCAGTAATTAACTAGGTAGTTAATTATGTAGTAATTATAACTTAGTTTTAGTAGCAAGCATCATGGATACATAGTAATTCGATTCTTTAGTGCTAGCGGTAATGGTCTTGCATAAACCAAGGTTCTATGTAGTAGTGGTCAGACCAAGGATAAATAATGCTTAATAATCAGTAACAGGTTTCTTCAAAATGTACTGTATGAAAGAAATCTCTTCCCTGTCAGTCTAGGCCTACTAGTCTTGTTATGTAACCTGAATAGTTGGAGGAGGTGTTCTAATCAGTTCAATGTCCAAGCAAAGACCAGGGGCTGCTATTAAAGTACATACAAAAAGTATCTATCCTATTATTCAGATTCATAGTCAAAGGAATATCCAGCAACAGAATCCGCATATTAGTACATATGTCTTGTTCTATAATGGCCCAAGCTCAGATCATTTGGAAAGTGTTCTAGAATTAAAGCTTCTCTCATCCGTCAGCTGACGTCATGGTGCTTCACCCCCACATTAACACATACTTGTAGTATTACTATACTTAACTAGTACTACTACATACCACAGTACTACTAGTAGCAGTTCCTCCTGCGTAGGTACCCGCTGATCCGGCAACGCCGGATGATTGGCTCGCCAAACTATTAGCCATTGAATCCAAGTTCTTCCTATGTCCTTGGATCATGACGACGTCACCTAACACCTTGTATTTCCCTAGCACTAGGTGACGGCAACAACATGTGACCTGTTTCCTGAGCTTTAGAAAAGGGCCGTCCTGTTCCACTAGCCATCCTTCTCGAGAAAGCACCCATATTTGCTTGAATTCCACTATAAGCTCAGATCGTCCCCAGCAATATTCAGAACTTTTGTTTGATTTCGACTGTAGGCTAGGCTTTCAGCTTGCACTTTGACACTATGACGACTCTTCACTGTGAGTACTGACGACCATCTTCTCCTATTCTTCACTGCCGAGCGCTAACCAGTAATTACAAGATCTGCCACCTGTAAAGCCTTCTGCTATTGCTATGGGCACGTTCTTCACACACACCGCGTCCTTGGGCATACTGGCGCCAGTCTTCGGTGACACCTATCATCGCGCCCTGGCCGCCAACTCGAAAGAGGAATTCATCAAATCCAAGGAGGCTGCCGGGGCTGCCGCAGCCTGGGGCAGCTCGTTGATCGGAAGTGCCATGCAAACTTATGGGGTGGCTGCTCTGATTAACGCAACCGGGACGCTGAGCTATAAGGGCGCGGCGTACCTGGGAAGTCTGATTTTCATGGCTAGCTCTGCTCCAAGTGTATGTGTTATTGCATCCCTGATTGCTTATAGGACTGTTGTGCTAACATCAGATGATAGTTCATCAGCCAAATTTTCACCGAGAAGCGGCCTTTAGATACAGTTGCTGTAGGTGCAGTGAGCAGAGTGTTCGAGACAGTCGGGCTTAGTTTGTTCCTTACTTGGTGGGGCACACGTACGAATCCTTTTGATTAAGAGTTCTGCTATGCTTGAACATGACATTTACTTGAGAGGCCATCCAACGTTGTAGACACGGTTCATTAGTGTGCTCAATACATGTTCTGGTGTCATTCGTGGTGTTAAATGTAGTAATTTGGAAAAATAGGTACATGGATTCAGTAATTTATAACTATAAAGAATGACAAAAATATTGCAATAGGGGGTCCATAGCTTGAAGATACTAAGATATTCCAAAGACCAGGACAATGTTATTCTGAGGGGCCTGGTCTGGCTACTAAGTAGCCAATAATTATCTGTATCCCCTCCGCTATGAGCAGTTCCCCATCTTCTGATGTTAAGCAAATATGCATATGTCCAACGCCCATGAAAGAAAGAAACTAAAAGTCACAGAAGCGGGGACCACTAGTGTTGCTTACTCATGGAGTTTCGTATACAACTACTTTTCGTCCTGAGCACGTTTGGAAAGCAAAAAAAACTGAACAGTAATAAGAGAGTAGGGAGTGTGGAAGGCAAAAAGAATGCGATATATTCAATCTCTAACTTGGGTGGCTTCATCATATAAATGTGCGACAGGGATATCTTTTTTAAATGGTTAGTTTAGAACACGTTACGATGGAGGTCGACGTACACGTTGGGGTAACCATGGTCATGATCAAGCTGATACTTGGAGCCTGACGGGTTCAGATTGCAAGGCTTTGGCGGTAAACCATTGGCCTTCAAGACACCCTGAATGCCCTTCTTGTTTGTCTCAAAAAGGCCGGCCAGACCGCGTTCTTCGCCCTGCTGCTTGACAGAAATAAGTTGCTTCTCTCCTGCTTCACCAATCTGTAGGATATCATCCTTTGGTGCTGCCTGGCTGCCTACGGTGAGAAGACCGACAGCATCTGCTTGGCTCACGGTGCTAAGCTTAGGGTAGCTCCTCCGAACATCCCGCTTCCAATAGGGGTTGTCCGCAATATCACCAGCCGGAATGGTAACTGGGTCATCATAGGAAAGAGGAGGAAGAGCTCCAGGGGTCGGTAGACGATACTGGGCATTCAATGGAACACCTGTTGAGCGATTGGGATCAATCGAAAGAAGGCGGCGAAGACGCTCCCAAACGCCAGTGGACTGAAGTGTGTATTTCTGGTGGGAAGAGAGTTTAGATAACACCTAAGTCTGAAATGTATGTTAGAGTTCTTTACCTTGTGCACAGCGATGACATTCGATGCGGACTTCGCCGCTTTGAGAATCTCACGAGCCATAATGGGATGCACTCTGTGCTGTTGAATTAGCTTCATAAGCTTCTCAGAATTATTACTCAATGAGGTAGGGGGGAAATAGTGAATTTCTGTTTTATACCTTTCCCAAGACAAAAACAATATTTGAATGGATTGGGTCAATTGTCGTCTTGTGGTGTAATCAAGCTGCTAGGTTAGAAACGTCGCCGTGTACGGAACAACTATATTTCCGCTCCCTACGGCTGAGCCAATAGCGCGAGGGTTATTGATGAGTACAGATTGAATACTGTATATCTAAGTCCATTGAATAGCAACGGGGGCGATGGTTTTATCAAAGACTTAACCCAAAAAATAAAAATAAAATAAAAAATTTAAAATAAAATAAAACGATTATTGCAAGGGTAATTGACATCGTTACTTGAATTATTAGGGCCGCTTGCCAAGCGTTTCTGAACAGGCTAACGTTGAGAAACATTACTGCGGAGTACTGACCAGACACAATGCTTTACATACTTTGTTTATTAGAAACGAATGATATAGACTCGGCTGTAACCGCAGTCATTTGGTAGAGAGCTATTTCGAAGGAGACAAAAACCACAAGTAGTTCTACTCCTATGGTCGCTGTCCTTCTGGTTGCCTGACTGGTGACTGAAGCTGTCAGATACCTGACTCGGAATCGTTACCACTGGAGTTCCTTGCAATCAATTGCCGAATGGCCTCCACCGTGGCATCGGGACCACCAGGCTGCAGCAGCAGAACCGTGCCTTCCTTATCTACAGCGAAAATGCCCCTTGTTGTTCCTTTGGGTGTCTTTTTGAACCCCAGAGCCGCAATCAGTGAGGATGCAGTATCGCAGAGAAGAGAATAGGGTAGACTTTGTTTGGTCTTGAAGGTAGTGTTTGCCCTTGGCGAATCCGTGGACAGTCCATAAATGGAGAACCCGGTCGAAGTCAGATAGTCATAGTTGTCGCGAAACATACAGGCTTGCTTTGTACCTAGTAGAATATGAGCTTTGTTTCCTAGAGAAGATATCATGAATGGCGACTAGACCACAACAAGAACTGGGATGGGGAGTGAATGAAAGAGAGGCAGGATTTTGAATAAAAAAATAAGAGAGAGAGAGAGAGAGAGAAAGAAGAAAGAAAGGCAATTGATATGGGATAAACACAATAACAACCAAGCGATTGTTTGACTTACAGCCGGGGGTTGAGGCTCTAGGGTATGTAAAGAGCACCACACCTGATTTGCTCCCATCGACCAATTCACTAAGTGTTGTTTTTATGCCATCGTTTGTTTCAATCTCTCCACCAAAACCATCCAAAGTAATTTTGTTGCCAACTTTGGGAACTTCTCCTGAGACCGTGGATGACCCTTTCTCCCGAGGCACGCCTTTTGGTACAGCGGTTGATCGTTGGCCTTTTCTGGCCCTTTTCTCTGCCACAGGCAATTGAGTTGGCGCTTTGCGCTTTCGAAGCTCAACCATATTCCGCGATGTTGCCGTTGAGTAATGGGATTGTGGAGAATTAAGACAGCGGTGTGGCTTATGTTTAATATCCAACGTGGCTGGGAGCTGGTGACTGTACATAGGTTCCGTGAGTTACCTACTTAGTATGCTTTGCACATGTCTCAATTAAGGTCTCCTACGTCAGCATTCAAGACGACAAAGCCATACTATTACAGGGGTGGACAGTTGTGTTTGCTACAGTCGGAACCCAAGAATATAGAGTAGCATCCACTGACAATGCAAGTTGTGCATATATGAAGCATAATTCACGATGGTGGACATAATCAAATATGACAAATACTGCTAGAGCTACGGAGTTGCTCACTGGATTATAAAATGATTGGTGACAAGCTTAACACACTACCATATATGCATAATTATACACAGTACATATAACTACTCCGGTGTATATATCAGTTGTGGGGTTATCTGTTGTCATCGAATACCAATCATCTTGATAAGTATGAAGTGAGTAGGTAGTTTACTGTTTACTGTCTTAAGTTACCCCAGAGTTTCTGACGCAGCACACAGATGGATGTCCACAACCGTAACTCCGTATTACTGCCGATGCGGGTTTTCTGCCGAGAACTCCCGATCCATGGCTGCACGGTAGAAAAAAAAAAAAAAAAGAAAAAAAAAAAAAAAAAAAAAAAGGCCCACACCATTTGACATTACACACCCAGAGTTGCGATCGCCACTCACTTTCATTGTCCAGACTGGATAGCCTGTTCTTCAAGTTCATTCCTCATCTTGTAGAATAGGATTTTCACTTTGTTCTTCACCTCCGTAGTCTTTTACTCCCTTATAATTCCTGTGCTGTGACACTCTCTTAGACCTTACTCCTTTCCTGCATCGTTGCCAAAGAGGCTTGGTTTCAGCCATTTATTGTCATCTCAGTCCATCGATTCCCTACGCGCTACGTGCTTCCTATATCGCCGCTTCATCCATTGCAGACCAATACTACCGCCCTTCCCCAAACCAAAAGCAGCACGGAAATCTTACATCAATATTGTCGGTCAAAATGAAGGTCTTCTCCTCGACTTGTACTTTCGATTACTCTTGGGAGGAGGTATCAACGGCGAACTGGCGCAAGTACTGCCCGTGGAATGACAAGTCCACACATGTTGTGGCGGTAGATACATTGTCCCGGACTGTCGACTCAGAAACTGGTATCGTATGTGCTTGTCCTGCTTAATCAACCGCAATAAAAAGTTCGTTACGGCGACTAACTGCTGTATCATTGCAGTTACGTACAGAGCGTCTTATCACATGTGATCAATCGGTGCCGCAATGGGTTCTTTCTCTTTTTGGAGGAAGCGCTACCTCGCATGTCTACGAGATTTCCTACGTCGATCCGAAATCAAAGAAAGTCACAATGTGCTCGTCCAACCTTACATGGTCCAATGTTCTGAATGTTCAAGAGACTGTCATCTATCAACCATCCTCAGCGAAGCCAACTTGTACCACGAATTTCAACCAGGAAGCGAAGATCACTGCACTCTGTGGCGGGTGGCAAAAGATCAAGAACAAGGTAGAAGAGGCAAGTGTGGAGAGATTCAGTCAAAACGCAAAAAGGGGCCGAGAAGGGTTTGAGGCTGTTCTTGAGATGAGTCGACGGGTATTTGGTGAACAACGTGAGCGTGAGAACGATAAACTTCAGTCATGACTTATCCAGTGTTCTATATCCCTGCAAGACTGGAGTTCAGCACCATAAAATCGGGCATTTGCATATACCGGCGTTAGTTATGATTGTTTCCGAGCGTACGGTGCAAGTTGGCGTTTTTTTTTTGTTCCTTATGGTTCCTCTCTTTTCCCTTGTTGGCGGGCATGGCTTAACTTTGCTTGTTTATTCCTTATGGATTGTTTGACTAGCGATGACTAGCTTTATGGTTATAACGCACTGTTTCTCACAAGTCATATGTCCCTCAAAAGTCATCTTTATTAGTTTGTACTGTTCCGGGATAGTGGAACGTATACATTACATGGTTACCCGAAGGGTGGCAAAAGATAATGATATCTTGTTTCTGCCGTTACTGAATGGCTATAAATAACAGAATGAAGCAGCCGCAGGGTAATACTAGGTAGGAGCACTTATAGATGATATCGTCTTAGGTTAAGCGTTTGAGACGTGCCCGTAGCTAGCCTAGAAGACCCCCAAGGACAACGCGGCTTACCCCCGAGATTTCATTCTTTGCATTCATCCGGCTCGCATCCTCGAATTCCCGCACGACCCCTGCTACCATGATCTTTCGAAGCTTAGCATCGGCCTTGGAGAACATTTCACCCAGTGCAACAGTACAAACGGAAGGGGTCGGAACCAAAGATATAAGTCGAGTATAGCAGTCTATCAGCACGTCACACAAAGTTACAAACGTTTCAAAATAATCTGGTTCAAATGGTAAAGACGGCGTTAGGAGGTAGGAATATTCCTCGCCAGGGAGAAGCTCCGACGCTTCAGTGTTGGGGAAAGAGATGGCAGCGGCTGCTGCCGAAGCAGACGATGTTATGTTGCCTGTCATGGCCTTTAATTCAGATGGGTCGCTAGACTGCATGGGTAGACCAATTTCAGTTGCAGAACTAGCTCTTCTAGTCTTGGTTCCCGCATGCGCGGCTCTCTTTAACATCTGTGGTATCCGTGCTCTAGCAAGTGTTGATGAGGAGCTTCCATCAGGAGGGTGCACTTGCTGGAATGCTTCGAATTCATTCAACAGTGCATTGAGTGCCCGCAGATATTCCACAGGGGTCGAGCTGACGTCTAGAATTGGCGGGAGTGATAGGCCCAGGAGAAGGTAGTTTATCGCACGGCGAGAAAGCTTGCGGGCTTCGAAGTATGGAATTCGACCGATATCAGCCCGAGAAAAGTGTACAGTATTGAACCAGTAAATACGGCCTTCGTGTCTGAAAAGCCGTCAGCGATTCATCCCTAGTTCATGTTTGTCTCAGAGTCATAATAAACTGACGCCTTTCTCAAGTAATGTAAAGTTGATATTCGCTTCGTAGCCATATCATGTATATGCTGATAGATTGCTGCAGCGCTCTGTGGCCCGAATGACCCCCCTCCACTAGTTAGCGGTGGAGGGAGAGAACCAACTGTCGTCTCGTGGCCTATGCTCGATTTGCCAGTGTCTCTGCGAGTCAATGTAGGGGCAAAGGTGGACGAGATCATGTTCGACATGTTCAACGGAGGAACTAACAGAGACAGGAGAAAAATCAAGGCAAGCAGAAGTCTGTCCTCTGTTGGCGTCCGAACAAAGCAGGCTTAGTAGTTTGCTGACATCTAGGGATAGAAAGTTGGAGTGATAACCTTCAGTAGAGCGTACGAAGACTTTTGCCGATAAATGTGATGTGATTTAATTACATCCGATAAGATTTACATTGCTCCACTACTTAACCAGACTATGCCTCGTTCGACAAGGTCATGGCTGGTAGTCCATAGAACAGAGCAAATTACTTGGATCTTTAGTTATCACGCATATAGCCAGCGACCAATTGGGATTTACTGATATAGAGAGATAGAGATATCTATACTCTGTCCGGAATTAATTTTGTAGAGTATAATGGAGTGACGAGCTAGGTGGACATAGATTTAGTACTAGATAGTAGTAGTGTAGGTATTTACATTAATCACCACTAAGTAACAAATGAACAGGTAACTACGGAGGACACATGTTCCATTTACCAATTACCTTTCGGCTTTAGTACGCGTACCTAGGTACTAATAGTATTACGGGAATTCTCCGCAACCCCGTGGCCCTCGCGCCTTCCTATGAACAGTCCAGTCCAATCTCGGCCCCTCTCTTCCTCTTTTAGGTTGATAGTTCCCTTTAGGGTCTATTACCATCGCTGAACTGACGCCCCTCTTATTTTGTATTCACACCCACCTATCTACTTATTCCTGGTGTAAGAATATATCTGAAGAATGGAAGGGGGACAATTATAAATAACCATCACTCTGCTAATTATCAGTTGCTGATAGCAAGTACTTGTCGTGTCTTTCTGGTACCCCGCACTACAGAAAACTAAAGAAAAGAAAAACAAAAATGAGTACTTCCAACGAAGATCCTATCCCCCTATCAGGGCAATGGCCGGTTGACCCTCAATATGATGTACCAATTGCTGAAGACCGTATATGGGTGGATGGATGCTTTGACTTCAGTCATCACGGTGAGAAGCGAAATCTGCTTACAGGTCTGAGACTGGGCTCTAATATAAGATGAGAGTTGCAGGGCACGCGGGTGCCATGCTTCAGGCACGTAGACTCGGAAAGGAACTCTATGTTGGTGTGCATTCTGATAAAGCGATACTTGAGAACAAAGGCCCAACTGTGATGACTTTGACTGAGCGGTGAGTAGCTTAACCCAACATCTTTTTTGCGGCCTGGCCTGATTCCTTGTATATTTAGTGTTTCTGCCGTCGAAGCATGTCGCTGGGTGACCTGTTGTGTTCCCCATGCTCCGTATGTGACGCAATTACCATGGGTGTCTCATTATGGCTGCAAATATGTTGTCCATGGAGATGATATTACATCTGATAGCAACGGTGACGATTGCTATCGATTTGTGAAGGCTGCAGGGCGATTTCGTGTGGTCAAAAGGACCCCTGGAATCTCCACTACTGATTTAGTCGGTCGTATGCTCCTGTGCACAAAGGGACACTTTGTGAAAAATGTGAAAGGTACACTTACCGGCGAGGAAGGATCTGTGAACCAAGAAGAACGGCGGTCAGCTGCCGCTAACCTTATGCAAAGAATTCGCGATTATGCCACTGACGAGACTGGTTTGCAGCCTGGCTCCCCTGTATGGATCTGGGCTGGCTCGAATTCTGCCAAGCTTGACAATACTACGGAAGAACCTGGATTATTCGAAACAATTTCAGGCGGGAAGCCGTCTAGACCAGGACAGAGAATCATTTATGTTGATGGAGGCTTTGATCTGTTCTCTTCTGGACATATTGAATTTCTCAGACAGGTTTTGGCACGCGAGGATAGGGAAGGTCGTCAGCGTGGTTGGTACGACCCTGCAATGAAAGAGAAAAGACTCAGGGAATACGGAGAAGATTATGGCCCGGCTTATGTCATTGCGGGCATCCATGATGATGGTGTAATCAATCATTGGAAGGGCTTCAACTACCCTATCATGAACATATTTGAGCGCGGACTTTGTGTTCTTCAGTGCCGTGTAAGTCATGCTACCCTCTGCCAGTGCTGGTGATCATCCCACTCGTCTTATTGACTGCCCCTAGTATATCCATGCCGTCATATTCTCCGCTCCTTTCTCACCAAGTGAACCCTACCTAAGAGCCATGCCTCTAGGTGTACCGGATGCTGTTTATCATGGGCCTACCACATTTATTCCACTTACATATGATCCCTACACAGCCCCCAAAAGAATGGGCATTTTCAGAGAAACAGGTAGTCATGATTTCCAGCATGTGAATGCTGGCGAAATAGTTGGGAGGATCCTAAAAAGCCGTGAGGCTTATGAAGAGAGACAACGCGCAAAGTTACAGAAGGGAGTCATTGAAGAGCTGAGGAAGGCCAAGGAAGACTCAATAAATTAGGCAAGCGACTTTGGTCTACACTGCCAAAAGTGCGAGACGTAAGCATTGTCAATGCTCGTTCATTGATTTGTATGCCTGGGTTCACATAATAGAGACTGAACCTGGAAGGGAAGAGGATTAACTTATAATACCCACACCTAGCCAGACAGTATACTCTCAGCTCTAACTAGATTCGACGCAGATAAAATGATACAGCTGATATAACAGTTGATCCTCACAAGCTACCCGGTAGTACTGCTTTATATAGACAAATATACTACACAGAGTCTTTTTTTAAAACCTGGCATCTATGCTTCGAGTTAGCCAGCCGCCACCAGGACATTCTTTTCTTCAAGCAATTTTGCCAGCTCCCCGTTTTGATGCATCGACATTAGAATATCACAGCCACCAACAAACTCCTTATCCAAATATAACTGTGGGATGGTTGGCCAGTCGGAGTATTCTTTGATACCTAAACACAAACACTGGTTAATGACCGCGAACCCATTTGAAGCATCAACAATCCTGCGAGTTTCAATGCCAGGACATACCCTGACGCAATTCAGCATCCTCCAGCACATTGAATGCGACAAACTTCTTAGGATCAACCCCTTGCAAGCCCAAGATCTGGATACTTGCTCGCGAGAAGCCACATTGAGGAGTCTCGGGGGTACCTTTCATGAAAAGGACAACCGGGGCAGATGCAATGGCTTTATCAATTGCCGATTTCGTCTCAGAAGAGAGTAGTCGGGCGTAAAGGTTAGACGGTAACTGAAAACCATAGGGTCGTAGTGGCAGCGTCTGTGGCCGCGAAAGCGGTCGGAATGCCTATCTCAGTTTACGTGAGCTTGTGAAAGGTCAAAAGTAATCAACTGAGTGTAATATTCATAAGTAAACATGGGCTGAACTTACCGACGAGAAAGCCGCCCTGGAGAACATTTTGGAGGTACTAGCACAGCAGATAGTTACTTGGTCTACTGATGGAATTATAAATGCTGAGCAGTATCCGTCATAGTACTAAAACTTGGCTCACTAAGCAGCAGCCAATCATGTGGTCAACAACGTCGTACTAACCAGTGTTCTTTCACGCTTTGTCAGCAAGCAACAGGCGGGAGTTACCAGTTACCTAGTACCTTGTTACCAGCAAGTACTTTGCAGTGCTTACCGCATTGCCAACTTGTAGTACTATGTACTCTTGGAGTGCCTAGCGCAATTTAGCCAGGGGTAGCTAATGATCTACTGTAGTGGTACACTGTCTCTCTGTCTCACTATGGCCAAGTCCTTAGGATAAATCCAGTTATAATGGTGATAGGTATGATCAATAATCTGGCTTATCGGAAGCAAGGGGATGAACGCAAGTGGATCACTACGAGGAGCCTCTCTACTCCAAGAATACTGCAAGACCTGGTTATTAGGTTATTGGAGTGGGACCGACAACTGAGTGATACAAGTAAGAAACTAACGCCGTGCCAATACATACTTAATGCGAGGTTTTCTTCCCTTGCGACAATGAGATCCCAGATATGTCTAAACATAATGATCTAATGCTACAATATTGGCCGATCACCTGCCTCTCCATTGGATTTGGAAGTTGCGTCTGTGAACACTTGGGATGATCTGGTATCCTTCTCGTCCAAATCAGTCGCACGCGCTATATAGTCGAACAACATCCCCAAGGTAATGCCACCTCCAGTGAGCAAACAACCATTCTTGAACCACCACCAGCAATTCTGGACATTTTTTAGCTGAACCCTCCATATCATCATACCAAGAGAAAGAGCCGCGCTGCCACAGCTGCCAATAAAAAAGACTGGTCCAGCGCCAGCCGACACGCCGGCTGCAGCAAGCAACGCCACTTGGACAACTGCTAGAGCAGAAAGAACAGTTTTTGTATTGTGTTCATGACGAAGAGCGATGGACTTGATACCTGCCGCTACATCATCCTTTATGTCCATATGGGCGTAGATCATATCGTACAGAATTGTCCAAGCAACGCAGCTAGAATAGAGTAGTGCTGCTGACTCCAAGGCAGAATGGTTGCTTAGAAGATCTATTCCCAGCGCAGGAAATCCCATCATCGCCCCCCACGAAAATGTTAGGCCCAGAACGGCTTGCGGGTAGTACGTGATGCGCTTTGCGAGAGGGTAAGTCGTCACAAGAAGCAGACTAGGTATCCCATACCAAAGACACAGCGTTGGGAATTGAAGAAGAATGCCCAGACCCGCCAGCAACTGCACCCCAGTAAACACTACAGCTTTGCGCGGGGATACTGCCCTTCTAGCAATTGGCCGAAACTTGGTGCGTTCGACATGTGGATCCAAATTCCTATCCCATAAATCATTGATTGTACAGCCGGCGCCTCGCATGATCAAAGCTCCCGTTAAAAACAGTCCCATCGTCCCAAGGACTTGCAAAGGGGTCGACGATGCCATAGGCGCCGCGAGAAGTGTTGAGAATGCGCATGGGAAGAAAAGATAGTATGTGCCAGTAGGTTTGTCAAGTCGTATCAGTTCGGCGTACGGTATCCAAGACTGAGGGAGAGAGGCAACAAGTCCTGTCTTGGGTGGAGTGTAATGAATTACCGAGGCCCGTTCCGCTGTACCGGGTGATTTGGTAGCTGATGGTGATGAGTACGGTAGGTGCGAATTGAACCTTCTTAATGCCGATCCTGCGTGAGTAGTGGGCTTGGGTGTATCAAGAAGGGTAGATCTCTGCCTAGTATAACAGCCCGAAATAAAGCGAGGGGAGAGACTATATCGAAGATATGGCAAATCACGCCTGTTGTGACAAACTGTTCTTACTTCGAAGCAACTGCGTGGTTGCATACTCCGATACATGGCGACACGAGTAGTAAATTGCATTCTCCAAGGCTATCAGATGGTCTATAGAAGTCACCTGTAGCGAAACATCAATAGCTTTTCTTCGATGCTTGAGTGGGTAGGTCAACTGAAGTTCATCTTGGTGAGCGAAGTAAGCAGGGTCAGAATGCTGAACTACACTCGTTTTTAATGGCTGGTGCAGGGATATCCTCACAGATGTTAGCCTGTAAGTCAGCGGCTCTTTAGCTGTATAGGGTTTCAGTGTCTTTTCAAGAGTTGTGTGCTACTCTTGTGATCTAGGAATTCTATGTAGTCATCAGAATCCGATCTTTTCCCCTTCACTAATGGAGAGAGGACCCACAGTGATAGTATTAGGTACTAACCGGATACAGGAAAGTGCGGCGGGTATCTCCTAGACCAGTCATACTGAAGCTCTTATGAGTGTATCGTGATTGTGGGAACTTGAACCATTTGCTGCTTCAAAATCTTGCTTTTTATTTCTACTTCCAATCGGCGTTCCCTCTCTTTGTTCTGTCATGCTCCTCAACTTCTGCGCCCCCAGAGTATTTGTGGGGCTTGATATGGCAGATACTTCTTTGAGCTACGACGTGAGAGACAATTACATCTTAACCCCTGCTGTTGCTCCGCTGTTGCTGCTCCGGATTACTGTACAGGAGCCTATATCGTGTTGGTTTGAGCGATATAAGGCTTTCTAATCTTAGAAAATGTATGAATGCCCAATCTTATGGTGATTCACTGTGATCTCTATATGAGCCCGCATGGAGAGGCTCCAAACTTCCTGTTACGTCGTTATTCCAACCTTTTATTTTCTCAGCAGTTGCTAGGATGCCTGCTCAACGGCCACGGGCTGCCTTTGAGCCCATTTCTCCAGATCTGGACGTTGCGGATTTAGTAGACTCGACACCAAACTTCGAATATGTGCCTAGAATTCACTGTGATGCAATTGATGCGAATGGCCTAGAGAACTTCGAGAAACTCGTGTGGCTTCATGTTGTTCTGGGTGGAAAGCCCCTGGTTATCGAAGGGTTTAACCAAAGACTTGACAGTTCCATATTCTCCGAGAAATGGCTGAGGAGCTACTATTCAATGAAGAGTGAGTAACCCTCCCAGCCCCGCGTGCGCAGCCTTTTGTCTGATTGTACTTCATATGAAGCGGAATTTGCTCGGAATCTCACGACCAAAACCGACCTTCCACTTACTATTGGGCATTATTTGAAGAACATGCATTTGCTTACGAATCAATGGACTACCCATAACTATAAAGATCCAAATCGCCAGAGGATTTATCTTAAAGATATCGACTGCCCCCAACAATGGCATGACCACCTCAAACAGCTCATCCCTCCTCCATTGTTCTACCTAAACAAGTTACCGGAGATGTTCGAAGGCCCCGGGGCAAAGACATTACCGTCAAATGACGATCTATTAGCTCGATCAGCTTCAGGGAGGCCTATTGCTAAGGCTGGGGACCTCATGAGTTGTCTTCCACCCTTCATGCGTGCTGAAAACCTGATGTGCTACATTGGCCACGAAGGGACTTATACACCAGCGCACCAGGAGATGTGCGCCAGCCTTGGACAGAACATAATGGTTGAAGCGTCAGATGGGTCTGTTGAGTACGGGAAAGCAACCAAGCCAGGATCTTCCATCTGGTTCATGACTGAGAGCAAAGATCGCCACGTCGTAGCTGAGTACTGGATGTCTACGCTGGGACATGATATTGATATCGAGGACCACTTTGCCCAGATCAATGCATGGAAAGCGGCTCCGTTCAAGACGTATATTGTCGAACAAAGACCGGGGGATTTTCTCTTGGTTCCTCCACTAGCCGCACACCAGGTGTGGAACCGGGGAACAAGAACGATGAAAGTAGCATGGAATCGGACTATTGCAAAAACTTTAGAATTGGCCCTGTTTGAGGCGCTCCCCCATGCTAGAATGGTGTGTCGCGATGAGCAGTACAAAAATAAGGCCATTGTCTTTTACTCGCTTGACCACTATTCTGATCTTCTTAGTGAGGTGGGCGACAGCGGCGTTTGGGGCCTTCGTGTGCAGTTGCTACTAGAGGATTTCGAGCTTTTATTTGAACTTTATACCCAGATCCTGCTTTCCGAGAGCTTTTTGCATGATCCACCGAAAGATGATATTGAATACGTTCCTTTCGATAGCAATATCACTTGCTCCTATTGCCGAGGTAACATATTCAATAGATTTTTGACTTGCCCCTGGTGTATTGGTGAGGGTGATGATACATACGACATTTGCATGGAGTGCTATACCATGGGCAGAAGCTGTGCTTGTATATCAAAGTTACAGTGGGTTGAGCAGTTCCGCTGGAGTGAACTGACCGGAAAGTATGAGAAGTGGAGGCAGCAATTACTAAGGTTCGTCGAGGCTAAGAGTGATAAATACCCATGTCTCCCTGCGAAGAGGGCTCAACTGGGCAGGAAAACCCTAGCCGAGATATGCCATGAACAAATGAAACGCCGCCCCTGGTTCGATGTCACAAATCCGGTCTGTCAGCGAATAGAGGAAAACAACAGTGGCTCTGAGAATGCTACCCCTATTCGGAAGCGAAGAAAAACTGACAAAAGCGATTCATGCACAAAAGGCGGCCGATGCCATATTTGCAAATGTGCTGAGCCTATGTGGAAGCTCGCCTCATGCTCATACTGCAACTTAAGTTACTGCTATGGTAGTCTCTTCAGAGCCTTTAATATCCAACCACAGGACACCATGGAGATGTATCACTGGATGTGTCCTAGATGTCAGAAGATTTGCAGTTGCGCTGCATGCCGTCGAGATCCGACCATGAACCCTTACGAACCAACATGCACTTTATTGGGCCACGACACCAGGAAGGTAGCAGATCCGCGCAGTGTGGAAAGTTTGGTGGATTTCCGTCAGTCCAACCTGCGATGGTTGAAGAAGGCTGGTGACGATGAAGAAGGTCGACTGAAAAAGCATCAGAAAGAAGCGGATGAGAAGCGCAACAAAGCCTTGGTTGATAATTGTATTGAGCTAGAGTTCCCCCAGGCTGTGAGCGAGGGTCCAGAGAGTGTCAAATTGGCTTCCCCTGCAGCTGGGTACTTCAACGACTATAGCGAAATACCCGTTGATCCTGCACTGGAAAAATTAGATGGGTCTTCTCTCCACCGGAAGCCATCGGTCAGTGACATGTGCAGATTCGCTGGAGAAGGACAGAAAGCGCTGCAGACATGACAAGGACACCTGAAATGATGATATGGGCCTGATAATTTTGTATTAGGAAAGATCTATCTAATTTTTTTGATCTCTGATAATCTTGTTATTGGCCGATGAAGCGGCTGAAACTATTGGGCTATTTAGCATGATAATCCAGCAGTGATACCATTCGAAGGAGTGTGAGACACGGATAACCTCAAACGACGCGTTGGTTTAAGACAATGGAGAAAGCCTTGTGAATATCTGGTCAGTTGCAACTATCCAAGACGGACAAGGGAGGGTGGAAAGTATGAAGAAAGGACAAATATGAATGCTGGTTGTATATGGTTAGTGCCGATCAGCAGCTATGTCATAAGCCCTAAACTCCTTTATACCCATATCGAAGATCCTCAAGATGTTTAAGGTCAACAGAGACCATCATTTTCTTTGCTAACATGATAATTCCAAGCATTGCTGCAAGATATTAAGTTACTTCCATTGTCCTGAAGAAATGGCTGTGGCCATAGTCAAAGAGGCACAGCTACAAGAAACACTCACCTCCAGGAACAAAATATACTTTTGGCTGTACATTGCTAGGTGGCTCCACCGGGGTGAAGAGCCACACTAATAGCAACATGCCACATATTGCAGTATTCACAGGGAGAAGAAGCTTCCGAAGGTGGGTGATAATAGTACCTGAACTTCGCATGGATCCTTTGCCCTTCAGATCTGGGTGCTGGAAGGGGAAGTATTTCATAGTATATGCCGTAGTTATCAATGAAAGAATGCCCAAGCATGTAAGGAAACGCTCCTGTAAGCTTGCGCCCTGCTTAATCACTGATGGAATGAACACTGAGACTGATAATAGTGGGATGGCAGTGAAGGTGACCTATATAATAGATGGTACCGAGTTTGAGTTTCATGTTTAGCGATGCTCAGTGACAACTTCTGAAGAGAGATATTTACAGTAAATTCTGCATTGTGCTTATCATTTTGTACTCGCAAGCGGTTTATTACTAACTCCTGCTCTGCAAAATTGTTAGTGAAAGATTGTATGAGCCTGGCATATCCATATAACACACCCTCCTCGTCTAGCTCTTCGCGTTCATGCTCATTATCACCTGAATCGTCAGGGTAATGAAATGCCTTGCGCAGTCGTGCAGCTGCCATGGGTGCAGGCTGGTGTTGTACCTCTTGCACGGTTGAGTTGTGTGTATACTAGAAGATGACGTTACATTTATCCGCTATATTGCTGGGTCGTCCGTAACCATTTCTACCTCCACAGTTTGTCTTGTTTGGTTGTCCCTCTCCGCTCCACAAGCCACATCTGTCTCGAAAGGAACCGTTAAGTTGCTAACATATCTACTATCGTCGTGCCCATGCAATTGATATATGACCAAGCTCGCCTTTGCATCATATCATCTAGCTAGCCATCTGGATTTGCTTTTACCAAGTAATGGCTCTGCATTTTGCGCAACGGCGCATTAGCATTGTGCGAGTCGCGTTCTCTCCTGGCCGGACTTTTCTTCGTCGCAATCTCATTCCCGCCCCGCACGCCAACTCAGGCCCTTTGATGGAACGACGGGCAGACCGCGAACTGCCTTCTGTGAATAAGGACCGACGGTGGATGCGGACCTTGCCAATATTTGCTATCGCTGTCGGAGCTGCGATGCTAGGGATTTTCAACTATCAGAAGTCGTCTTCAAGCGTGGTCAGCAGTACCCTCTATGCTCTCCGCACCTCTCCGCGTGCTCGCGAAATCCTGGGCGATGAGATTTACTTTACTCAAAAGATACCATGGATCAGTGGGGAAATGAATCAGCTACATGGACGTATCGACATATCCTTCAGGGTTAAAGGAACAAAGTCGCAGGGTATAATGAGGTTCCGCAGCATTAGGCCAGACCGAATGAGCTATGTTCGTTATAAACAAACACACTTTCCCCTTCTTTGTCCGAAAGTTCTCTTCTAACGGTTTTCTTCCAGTTTCGGACTGAGGAATGGAGTCTGGAGACGGAGGATGGCACGGTCGTTCAGCTCCTTGACAGCGCCAGTGACCCGTTTCGTCAACACGACTAATTACCGTCAAGTTTCCCTGGAAACTGCATCCCTACTTATGCATGGTATCGTGCAGCACTTTCATCCTTGTACATCTTGAAGCTTTCTGTGCACTAACCTAGGCATGTAAGCGTCGGGGCTATGGCACTTTTTGGCTCCTTCACTCCATTTTGGTACGGAGCAACGGTACTTCAGAGTACATAAAGGCCGCAGAGACAGAACTGAGGGAAATTCCACCAATGGAAAAGAAATGGGAGGAGAGAGAACGATAAAAGGATATCATTTATGTATCATATACAGACGCCGCTTTGTAAACAATATATTGTAATAGTACATTCTCAGAAGCAAGCAACCATCTAGTAGGTTATGGAGCTGGTTCAGAGGGAGATACGACTTCGGGCCATGGTTTCTTGATGGCATCTTGGATCCTGACGATGCAGCCTTTCGGCCCACTAACAGCGCCTGGTAGGAAATACCCGAATTAGCATAGCCCAATGCGCCAAGGAGTAGAGAAATCTTACCATTGACAACAACAATCCCATTCTGCGAGTCAACTTTGAGAATCTTGAGGTTCTGTACTGTATTCTGCTCATTACCCATATTTCCTGCCATCTTTTTCCCAGGATACACTCTAGATCCACCACCTTGACTGGGACCCGCAGAACCAAGAGAGCGATGTGTTAAACTGACACCATGGCTTCGGTCTTGACCACCAAACCCATGTCTTTTCATCACACCAGCAAATCCCTTTCCCTTTGTGTTTGACCGAGCATCAACATATTGACCTTCCTGGAACCAGTCCGCATTGATTGCCTGACCAACAGGTGGGAGGCCATTTTCATCCCGCACTCGAAACTCAAAGATGTGCCGTTTCGGGGAAATACCATTAGCAGAGAAGTGCCCTAGTAGTGACTTGGTGAGATTACTAGGGTGTTTCCAACCAGAACCAACTTGGACAGCAAAGTAACCGTGCTGCTGTCGTGTCTTATGCGAGATAACTTCCACTCGGTCTAGCTGAAGGACGGTGCACGCGATTCGCTTCCCTGTCTCTGCATCATAGAGGGCAGTCATCCCTTTCTTGATAGCGATGGCTCCAGTTCTGGGGGGCAGTGTGTCTGCTTTGCGTTCTAGGGCTGCTGTTGGCGTCGACTTGAGCACTGGGAGATCAGACCCGACATTGAACCGGGAGGTTTTCGGAGGGTTTAACGACCTGATGCCGAACGGCCGGATCGTGACATTGCTGCGATTTATTGATTGCGAAGCCCAAAGAAAAGGAGGAGGCTGTAATAGTCGGCTCGGTAGACGAGGTGCCATGGCGGAACAAGGTTGCCTAAAGGGGCATTTCCTGAATGAAACTGATGAATTCGTCTGTATCCGAGATTTTTACGACTACGCGGAGAGAATCTAAGGCGGTGAGTAATCATCATTGGTGCCTCATACATAAGGCGTATAGTGGCTTCGACCACGTCTGTCCGCGTATGCTCTACCACTGGAACATAGCATTTGATTTAAACAATACACAGTGGAAATTGGACAACCGCAATCAACCAGTTTCCTGGTATTCGGTATTATGCCGCCTGGAAGTGATATTGCTGTCAGTCATACTAGACATCCCGTGCACCAGACGTACCGGACATACCGGCACACCGACCGCCGAACATTTATGGACCATTCATGAATAATTTTGCGATCTGCTTGCTGTTTCGGAAAGCCACCACTACAATTGTCCTGGCGCCGCTTTCCTCCTTTCTTATATTTTAGTGTCACATTAATAGTTTCTTGTCAACCTTATTGACTTGCAGATAGAGCACGGTTGAATTTGTGGGTGCCTTCTTTCTAATTGGCCTGAATAAGCAACCTACGAACCCTGCCAGCACCAATCCATACAATTGCCTCTTGAACAGAAACCCCAGTGTCGTCTATACCCGCTAGTTATGTCTTTGAGGCATCTCACTATATCGCGCTGGCTTTCCCAAGCTTCCGGTCTTGAGTGGCATGTACTGCCATCAAAATTCACCAGCACAAACGCCCAGATGTTCCAGCCACCAGCTTCCTTTAGCTCGTTCCGCCGCGCCTTTTCCCTTTCAGCCGATAAAAACAGCTTTCTTTCTAGCCGAATAAGACCTCGGTATGATAATATGCGGAGCTTCTCTCGTACGCAACAGGCTCCGGTTTTCCGTCGATTCCTTAGCTCATCCAGGTCAAAGAGCGCGTCGCAGTCAGGGCAATCCAGTTCGCTCTCACAGCGGTTAAAGGCGCTTTCTCGGGAGTACGGCTGGTCGGCCTTGGGGGTGTATTTGCTCTTGTCCGCGATGGACTTCCCGTTCTGTTTTGCCGCCGTTCGCTTCCTTGGGGCGGAGAAAATCGGTCATTATGAGCATGTAGTCGTTGAGGCGTTTAAGGGTGCAGTCGGCACTGTGCTTCCCAGTATTCAAGAGGAGCAGTTTAAGGAGGAGACATATCCTAGGACCGATTCTTCAAAGGGTGATGTGAACGGGAGTACAGTGGAGAAAAAGCTAGATGAAGGGGCGAGTATGTTATCCTTATATGACTCATCTTAACTCGGATTGTCTGGAGTGTTCACTAACTACTATTTGTGCAGGTCTATGGACACAGGTTGCTCTCGCCTATGCAATCCACAAGAGTCTCATATTCATTCGTGTGCCTCTGACCGCTGCTATAACTCCCAAAGTTGTCAAGGTCTTGCGCCAATGGGGTTGGGATATTGTCAAAGGAAAACCGAAGGGTATGTAATTCGGCCTATTTTCAAGGACGTAAAATACTGGCCACCTTTCATTTGTTGTATGGGATTTGTGGCATAGCGATGATCAACTATAGATCAGTTTTGTGGTTCAATTGTACATTAGCTGCTATATCTCGATTCCCGGAGTGCATGACCATAGTGTTCCTCTCCACTCGTATGTTTTCCAAATGGATATTTGTATAACACAAATGTGTCAAGTAATGGCCCACAAGAAGAATAAATATCCAAAAAAGAGAGGAGAAGCACAGAGTTGGCAAGGTATTATTGAGATAAAAACGGATGTATATCCTCCTCTTTCAGTTTCTTTTTTATTTTTGCCTTTTTTTCCTTGGTTTGTATGAACCCTCGATGAGACTAGTAGAGGACGACTTGGATGCTTGACAGATTAGTGTGGAGGTGCAAAGCAGCGGCCCAAACCAAAATGCAAAGAAAAGTCAGAAATGCAATAGAGACCCATTATCTACCACGCCATAAAGACCTTAATATATACCTGTTAACAACACCAGAGTTGAATGAGACGATGAAATAGGTATATGAAGACGTCTCACATGTCAATCATATCGTTAAATCTCAGAATACCATTGGCTTTCATCACACCGTTCACGCCATCAGGCATTCGGTATGCCCATTCGGCCACGCCCATCGCGTTCGCTGCTCCTAGAGCTTCTTTATGGCCCGAAGGTTCAACTTCATCAGACGTATCTGCTACAAGTACGAGGCCAAGTTCCTTAATTGTCTCTACAAGAGCAGGCACAACGTTCTGAAGCAGCCACAGAAGCTCCGTATTAGTAGATGGCCATAATGCATAGTGTGCCGAGAATGGGGTAAAGCGTCGGGAGTGAGCATATAGGGGTAGAGACACGTACCAATAGGCTGGACCGGCATATCAAGCCCATAAAATTGTTACTTTGCGCTATCCTTGCCGATTCTTTTATGGACATCGATGCACGACCACTACTATTAATGTCTGGAAGTGATCCAACACCTCGGGTCAAATCACGAATTTGGCCTAGATCATTGCAAAGAAGAACAGGATCTAAGAAACGCAAGTGAGCAAACAATGTAATAGGTTTTAGTGCGGCTTTTAGACTCACAATTTGGTTGTTTCCAGTTCAGAGCAACACAAATATTAGGGTTGTATGAGGTAAATACTACTGAGCGCATAAATTCGGGGTTCTGCTCCCGTGATACACGGGCATGGTCGAAAACCACCGTGAGAATGGCATCAGCAAAGCTGTTTACGTCAGCTAAAGATACCATGTTCAGCGCTTGCTCTTCAGCAGCCGAGGGATAGAGTATCGAGAGATTGACATTGACACCAATAGGCAGATGCTGGAGCACCTCCTTGAGCGAGAGGAATGATGATGCTAGCATGCGGTGCGCTTGAGCTAAATCATCAACAGCACGTGTCTGAAGATGCTGAAACAAGTCTGAGCGATTCACACCTTTCTCAACACCGATGACTTGAAACTGAGAGTATGTGAGATGACAGATAGGTAATTCAATGCCATGGTACAGGATTGTAAAACATGGATAAAGTACGGGTATTCTGTCTCTCGTGAGTTGTACGAAAAGCTGCAAATGATCGCCCGACAAGCTCGACCCTGTTACCAGGCCATTGTGTTCTGAGTCGATGGCACTTGTAGCCTTCCAATAGGTAGCAAAGTGCGTTATCTCCAGGGGATCACCGTGGTACGGTTTTATCACTTGAAACCCAAATCGTAGCTGCCCTATTGACCGTAGCCTAGGATCAAATAACGGCAAGCAACACGAGCCAGTGCTAGAGATCTCGGCTCTAAATATAGTTGGTAGGGCAACTGTCTTCGCAATCACTTTCGAGCCGAAAGTGGGAAATATCTCGAAATCCACCGCAAATGTCTCCAGGTTATCTACCTGAAATGAGATCAATCGTGAATCCTCTTGGATGGGGAGCATAATGGTGCGTGGAATCAAGTCGGAAAGTTTCGAGGAAATTGTTAATCGAGCCGCAGGGTGACGGCCCGCCTGATCAAAGATAATCGAACCGGAGTTTCCAGTGTCAAAAAGTATTTGCACAAACACTTTCTTGTCCAAAAAGTTATGGCCATAACGACGCAAAGGTATGATTGGTGGCGGGAGAGAAAGGTCGGGTATACCATCCACTACCTCAGTACTTTCGAATGTCGTCGGGGCATCCTCCATATGCGAACCTGCTTCTTGTAGCCTCAACCCGTTCAGAATATCAAACGGCTTTTGCGGTGGGCGAGAATTGCTACGATGCGACCAAAGAAGAAGCATGCATTCTAAGTGACCTTCCCATGCTGCATAATACATTGCAGCGAGGCCCTTCTCGTCTACAACATCGGCGTCAACACCCAATTCAAGAAGAGCGCGAAGACAGTCAACACATCCTTCACTAGCAGCATGAAACAGCGGCGTCCATTGGTACAGTTTGTCTTTCTGGTTCAAATCAGCCCCATGTTGTTTGAGCATCATCAGCAGTTGCGGGGACTGAGAAGCTCTTGCGACCATATGTTGAGGATAGAGGCCTTCTGCATCTGGGAGTAATTGTGCATGCCGTTCGAGAAGCAACTCCACAATCGGAAGCGACCCATGTTGGCATGCCAGGTTCAGCGGAATGTGGTCTGATTCAGAAGCTGGATCAATGCGAGCATTGTGGTAAAGAAGTTGTTCAGCACACGCCAGCTGACCTTTGACAATGCTATGAATCAGCGGAGTAAAATTGTCATGGTCCATCACGTCGACAGTGTGAGGACCTGCAGCTAATAGATCTTTCACCATCTCTACCCGGCCGTGTATACATGCATAATGTAGGGGAAGTCTGCCATAAACATCGGACCTTGAGATATCGACACCTGCAGCAAGGCCAGACTTGAAAACGAACCCTCGACCTGAGATGGCTGCTTCATGCAAACAGTTGCGTTCATTGATGTCGTCTTCAGCATAGATATCAACTAATCCGCTTTCAAGAAGCACTGCCAACACATCGTCCGGAAATTCACTGATAGCGGCAAGGAAGGTACGGGTCGCGCGTTCACGAGCATCAAGAGATGATTGCAGCTTCGCGGTCCACTCACGCAATGTCTGAAGATTACCAGCAGTGGCTGATTGCAGGATTTGCAGGTCAAGATCTTCCTCATCGGCTCCAAACGGTTGAACAACTACAGCGCGGTCTACCGGACGAGCAGCATCGAAATGGATGTTCTCACCTTCCGCCCATGCCTCTAGTTCCAGCCGAGCGGTTGTCGCCCGGTCTGATAGATCACGCAAAACGTCGCGATTGAAACAGGGCTGTACTTCGACGGCGCGATGGAGGTATAGCTCCTTCATACGTGACTGATCCAAAGGTCAGTAAGACGGAGAGCGCAATCTGAATGGGGATATGTGTCCATGAGTAACTCGAACCTTTGAAGTTTTATCCCACTAATTGACATGTTAGCCATCCTGAGCCTAGTAAGTCAAAGCGACCCACGAACCTTTTTAAGGATTTTTGACATAGCAGTCTCATTGATCTCGACGAATTGCTTTGTTGAAAATGGTATAATTAGACTCTCCCATGTGCACGATATTCGGAACCAATATGCTTACTTGCAACTTATTCAGATCACCATCAAATTGTTGGAACCCCTCGAATAAGGCAACAAAATTAGCTGGTGCCTTGGAACTGGGTACTGTTCGTGATTGAATGACCCTTTTTTTATCGACTAGCGTTTTCAATCGCAGAGAGAACTATGAGGCTAGATAAGTATACCCAGTGGACCAGAGGGGGTCTAATATGAAAACAAACCTCGGCTTCCTTTTGTAGGTAGAATGTGTTGACTTTTTCGATTTCTCTCTCCTGTATGGGTTGTCAATAAACGCGAACACACCACCCACACCCCTTCAATGCCCTGATTGATGAGCCCATACCAACCGAAAAAAGAACACCTCCTTGTTTGCGCGAAGGGCGGCTTGCGCTTCGGGTACATCTTGAGCTGCGCCTGCGGAGCTTTGAGCGGGGATGGTCGGCGTAGCACTTAATTGCTTTATGAGCTGTCATTTGAACCTTAGCCGCAGAACTCTGAGCACTGCGATCCCTCTCTGGGCACTGACCTTCTTCAGAGCCTTGTAATTTACGAAACTTGCGGCATATTCAGGAAGGTCAAGTTGTCTGCGCTGGATTTGTTTGCCGAACTTCCTATAAGCGGAACGATTAGCCTTGTAGCCTATAGACTGTAGGTCGCTAAGGACTGGTTGTATTGTGACACAATTCGGCTCTCACATGGGGAATTATATTCACTTACATCCTGATAGGCTTTTTGGAGAAAGCCGATGCTCTCCTTGCCCCTTGACGCACTCACAAGGCCTAGAGGCTGGAGAAGGACGGAAGTCGGGAAGTAGTACCCAAGATGTTCCAATTGCAATGTTTATAGGGTAAGGGGACAGAGGAAGTGGGAGAGAAGAGGGAAGAGAAGGAAAGTAGCAGCGATCGCTTTTCTTGAATGCTTCAACAGAATGTAGCAGAGGGGGAGGGGTGAGCAGGTGGAAAAAGGGACGTAACCCGAAGTGGGGCGAAAGGGGAGTCAATAAGCAAGTAACAGTCGTTGTAATGCTTTATTTTTTGTTGTAGCATGGACGTGTACAACGTAATCGTGAGTAGTAAGTAGGCATGTACTGTCTTGGACACAATAGCTAGCCACAGGACCTAGCCACGACAAAGCACAAGAAGCAACACGAATATTGCTTCAGGGCTCCCTTGTCTCTGTGGATATTGGCAGTTCGTACGGAGGTCCTCGCCTTGTAGCCAGTTGGTACTTAGTATACCTTTCAGGCTATCGCTGCACGCCAACTGTAATTGTTCATTCAACTGGAGTCAGTCACTGGAAGAGAGACCAGTGCGGGGCACTTGACTCCAGTAGACAGCGTAGAAGCCAAGGTGTTAGACGATGGGAGACGAATGAGGTAAAGAGGGAAAGAAAGCCAAAGTCTCCCAACCAATGCCGTCGTTATACGAGTGGTAGCAGGAGTAATAATGCAAGTAGCGAATTAGAATGGAATATCAGAAGGGCAGCATGAACTTGGAACAATAAGGGCTCGTCGCGGGAAAAATCACGTCAGGTTAGAGGTCGGAGGAGGGCGAGTGGGGAGCTCTGGAGAGCTGGACCCGGGCCAATCACCAATGACCATGCGCCCACGTTCCCTTTTTCTTCGGCGCACCAACCATACGCAACACTAACCATTACTGTCACGATTTGGACGTTCAATTCCTAGTACCTAGGTATCCATGTACCCTCTAAGCAGTAGTAGTAGTAGTAGTAGTAGTAGTAGTTTTCTTGGCTTTGCTTTCTTCTCCTTCTTCTCACGCCCCTCTCCTCTTCGAGCTCCTTTCCTTGCAGTCATTTGCTCAAGTCATTTCAGCAAAGAAAAGTCTCCTTTGTAATGTAAGGATGGCGGGCCTAACAATTCTTAATTTCAACTTCATAGAGATATACTCCGATGTATTAGGAGCAAGTCTATACGGATAACGAATTGAGGCTGTTGGCCACGACAAACATGAAGTTTTGGAAGAACCGTGTTATGGTTATGTAGTCGATAATCCTGCTCTAATTGGAGGCAAGGGGCTAAAAGTAAACAAGAAAAAAAGGAAAAGTAATCCACAAAGACTATTGCATCCGAATATAGACAGAGATGCGCGCGATGTACACTATACCAGGTATAATATATCCAAACCCAAGCAAACCTCGGATCAATCAGTAGACTGTAGAGCAGAATAAAGAAGATATCACACAGAAAGAAAGGTAGTAGGTGACCTTGACCCATGCCAGTCACGTAAAGAGATAGTAGGCATGCATTGACACATATAACTGGCACTTGGAAGCGGTCATAAATATACAGATACAAGTATCAAAAGACCAAATAGCAAAGAGGGGCAATGAGAAAAGCAAGACCATACTGCAAACTCGGGATATAGCTGGGAATGACAATGGGAGACCAAAAGCACAAGAACAGTTCAAATGAAACAGAGAGAAGCCACCAGACCCAAAGATATCACAAGAGCCACAAAAGGAAAACAAAACGAGAGCAGAGGAAATACAACCACCATGGAATGTGAAAGATAAATAGGGCAAACAATAGGTTGAAGTAAGAAGTAAAAGCTTACCAGAAGTTTTCCAGTATAACCGAGACTTCATCAAGAGTAGGCATGCGGGTGGTCATCATGAAGTGATGCGTAGGTTGCAGACTTGTGATTCCACTACATTCCAACGGCAACCGTGAAGTGTACAGGGGTCACTGCATCTCCTTATCAAATCGACCGGTTTGGAAAACACCATCAACCAATCTACAAAAAGATCAGGGCTTTTCAGAAGTTTTGAGCGATTCCAGCATTTCCTTGTCTGGGAAAGACAGCAGGGTTCTCGATGCGAGTATTGCGCCGTGCCTGAACGTCTCGAATCACAGGCGGACTTCCACCATAGGGACCATCACCATACGCCCCATACTGCGGTTGCATCTCATTGTAATACGGGTTATCATCGTAAAAGGGACCGGTAGGATGAGTAGCAGACATGTGACTTTCATCTGAAGCCTCTGAGCGGTTTGCAGCAGAATATGCGGACGAAGCGTTAGACGGACCACGATGTATGTCTGTGGTTCTGTTGTTTGCTGTAGAGACCGGGGCAGCTCCTAGAACGCCGATAGGATCTGTCTCGCCCGCTGCCGGGCCCTCAGAATATTGGATAGTACCATCGCTTGGGGTAGTGACATGATGATAGCCAGGAGCACTTCCTGCCTCGGACATTGCCAGTCCAACCCCAGCACCACTCGACAAATTAGTGGATGCTTTGCGACCAGCTGATGTGGTCCCCCATCCTCGATAACCCGAAGTATCATCCTTGGGCTCGAAAGCACCGCCTCCCATGATAGGTGGAAGAGTTGGGTCATTATTCGGATTAAAACCGTACTCCTCTACTTCCTTCCTCCGTTCCTCTTCTGCTGCTTTCTTTGCTTTCCATTTCCTCCAGAAATACAAAGCAGCTAAGATAATGATTGCTACGGAGGCGACCGGTACAACCACTGCAACTGCTATTGTTCCACCAGCCGAAAGCCCAGAGCCACCACCTCCACTTCCACTTGTAGCCGAAGTTGTCGCCGATGATCCAGTTGCGGTAGCGGATATGCTATTGGCTGAATTCCCTGTGGAATGAGTGGGTAGAGAGGTATCGGTAGAGGTAACAATAACAGTCTGTGGCCCTGTGGTACCATCAGTCGCCGACTTCGTGATGATTGACGTAACAACAGGGGGGGTATTGGTGTTGCTGCTTGTGGTCGAGGTTTCTGAGCTCGTGGAAGGGATACTGGTCGTGCTAGTTGTCGATGGCTGCGTCGTGGTAGTACTAGAAGTCGTCGGCGACGAGGTCGATGATGTGGAAGTCGAAGATGAGGAGGATGAGGAAGAAGATGTTGTAGAAGAGGATGTTGTTGGCTCGGATGGGGTTGGCGTTTCGGCTGGTGTTGTAGTTGGCGTTTCTGCGGTCGGTGTGGCGGCTTCGGCAGTGGTTGCCGCTGGCGCCGCTACAAGAGGTTCAGCGTGCCATTCGACCATTTCACGGATATGGAAAATGCAAAACAATGCTATGACGCAGATAATATGGAAAAGGTTCCATCATACCTGCTGAAGATGCGGACATCTCAAGATCTCAACGGGCGACACTTTTCCGAGCCAATTGACGAAAGTTGTCACTCGTCGTACGAGTGACACTTGGCCCTACTGTCGCAAGTTTTACACGAAGAGCTCCTCGAAACTCAGACGGAACGTTGACTGGTTAAATTGATAATATTCCTTCAAAGGTGCGTGTGTGGCCGGAGGGTCCGTGAGAAATTACCAAGAACTTCAGCGACGGACTGCTCGGGATAATCTCGTAATATAAGTCACAGATATAGAGCAGTCGCAGTAATGTAGATAAATGGTTCGCGTGCGCAATAGAGTCAATGAGATGGTGAGCTAGACTAAGAGGGAACAATCACGTAGAAAGAAGCAATCGTGACGGTCAATCTGCTGGACTTTGGTCAGGGGAAGAAGATAAATTAGTGCGACGGAAAAACGAGCCAAAACCGCCAATGGGGAGGGGAGAAGGAAATCTGTTCTTCTTAAAAGAAATGAAAATGAAAATGAAAATGAAGCAGGGGGAAAAAAATAAAATTGACTTACCCAAGCTGATAAACAGGGTGCCATGGGATGATATGAGGATAGAATGAAACTAAAACAAAATCAGAAGGGTATAAACTGAAGAGATCAGTCAGAGTCAAAGTAGAAAAGGAATAAGAAACAGAAAGTGGAGATAGCTACCTAGAGAAAACGTCGAATGCTGAACCACAACTGCAACCGGATGGGAGTGGCACCGTCCGTATTATTGTTCTTAGTGATTACAGACCTTCGGGTGCTGAGGTTTTAATCCAGTGAGACAAAACTTTCCCTTGTATGTGTACCATACCTACAAAGTACTACACAATACTGTATGTACACAGTATATCTTTGTATGGTTACTGCCAGGAGAAATTACCAATTACAGTGAACCTGACGAGTGCGGACAGATAGGGAGGTAAATTCAGCAACGGTCACGGTTCCACTGGCTGCGATCGGCAATTCCCCCACTTCCAGAAGAGCGCCTAAGAGTCTAGCTCATGCTACCAGTAAATTTCATATTCTTCAGCAACAACCGGGTATTTTTGTTAGAATGTGGGAATCGAAGGCCCGCATAGCACTGCTTGCAGCCATGTAGCGTATGCACTGTATATACAGAATCTACACAATAAGTGATGCGTGGTTGTTCCTGAACCAGATTTGCATGGGCTAGATCCGGAAGTGTTAGGTATCAGTTTACCAAAAATTACAGGTACTAATTTCCATAAAAATCAGATGTAATAGAGCCAGTCTGTATAGTATTTAGATAATGATAATACGCATTTTTTTTTAACAGAGCGTACATATCTTTCTTTTATTTGTAAAGGCACTTGGGGTATTGCGCATTAATCATACAAGGCTTGATGGAACTTGTTTGTGGTCCCTTCCAATTTCTGCTATTTGTATCGATGGAGTGGGATTCATCGCTTTAAGTTAACCAGCGATATAAGACACGGAAATAAAAATTTTCTCCCGCTGTATACTTGACCCACAAACACAGTAGTAGTACACGGTAGTGACAGTACATAGTATTAGTGGGAGTAGATGGTGGCAATGTTCAAACAGCGCTGGCCAAGCAAAATCTCCAGCTCCACCAATGTAGCATTCTACTGTATACTCCGTAATATCCATGGAATTGTTCCTCCTTGCGCCAGTGGTGCTCAAAGAGATAAGATGCCTGTTGTCACCTTACCTAAACTGCACATTTTGAACTTTCTCGAGTCCTTTTTACCTGGCATAACTGGCTTTTACCACATATTCTACAATATAATAATCATTCCCCACCCAACTGCACAAGTTGCGGATCACACAACTCTCAATTCAAGGCCAACTGTGGGTTTCCTGTACATCTGAGGTCATAGTCAATATTCCAACAACAACAACAACAACAACAACAACAACAACAACAACAACAATAGCAAACAGGAAATAATAGTAGCAATTCGCTTCGCATTTAAATTTGTCGATTGCTGTTACTTCTTCGCTCTCGAAGGGTCATGGAGAACACGCTGCTCATGCTTACCTTGCGTACAATATAGGATATCTGAGCCAAAATCAACATAAGCGCTAGTCACTCCTTTCAAGAACTAGTTGCACCTAGCCCAAGGTGCTTTGGCATACAATGTGTGAAGTTTCAATCTCTAGCTCGTACTATAGGTGCAGTATAAGTAGTCTAGAAGGGAAACAGCTAGTGCTTATCTTCTGTCACACATAAGTCGGTCGACGGTGTGATCATGTCAACCCAAAACCTCCGTAGTAGTAGGTAGGTAGGTGGAGCAATTACCATGGATGGCAATGAGGAGGGTGGGAGAGGAAACCACCAAGGACAACAGCGACGTGAGCCGATTCTGTGTCCTCCCGATATCCCACACTGATGAGCAATCAGCGAAGACTCCAGAAGTGAGTAAATCAACAATATTCGCAGCTTGTGAACTATATGAACGTACTTGTCGAAGTTCCGACTCTTAGAAGAATCAGGTTAAGAAGAGAAAAAGAGAAAAAGCAAAAAAAAGTTAAACTATCAACTCCTTGTATATTATGTACGCCATTGACGTCAAATGATATGTTAATTGACCCAGCTCTCTCAAAGGAGTACAATGTATGAGGGGATAAACAAGCGATATATCGTAAGATAACATGTAGTCACCTGAAACTGGTGGGCAATGGACGAAATCATTACAGCAACAATCGATAATGAGGTCAGATTGAACTAGTATATGTTTAATTCCGCATATCCCACGTTGGACGAAGGTTAGTGACCAGGTCGTCCTTAGTACCCACAGTTTCAGGAGGAAGGCGGCTGACACGGTACGCACCAGTGCGTATATTCTGCAGATGAGTCGTCGATATTCCGGTCCGGTTACTGCGAATGCTACCAGAGTCGCTTGCAGTCTCGAGGTTCTTGAAACGAGGTGGTGGAACAAAGTCCAGATTATCATATGTACCCGACTTGCGCAATGCATGCCTGGGATAGGGTTAGTCCAAAGTTACGGTCCCAGTGATATCTTGGGTTAGAAAAGGGTTAAGAAAGGGGACAGAAGAAAATAATATAGGGCTTACGGGCTCGGTATGACAGCAAGGTCATTGAAAGATGAGACAAGAGGAGTGTGAGCTCGCATCGTTGGACTGAACGGTTGCAGCCCCCCAAGAGGTGTCTCCGGGCGGCCTTCCCTCTGGTCTCTATAACTTTTCCCGGGGGCGTAGTCGATAGCTCCCATTAAAGAGTCATCCTTCAACATGTGAGGCGTAGGTAGGAGCTGGAGTGGAGCTGGAGGCGGTGCAGGCTTGCGGATTTTCGGAACACCTGGCAGTCTGCCAGAAGCAGATGAAAAGGCACGTGGGCCTGGGGAGTTGAGTCGATCGGTCAAGCCACCGATAGAACCCGAAGGCATATGTCTACCTCCCCCTTGAAACCGGGGCGGGGCGCGCGGGGGGGGAGTCATAGCCCGACGATTTATTGGCTCAGCAAACGGTGCTGGGACACCGTCGTAGTAATCTCCAGTAGCCGAATCGTAGATATAGTTACCATCGTGATAAGACTCAGGACCATAGTAAGTCTCCCTCCCATTCTTGTTCTCGTCGAAATATTCCTTGTAGAACGATCGGATACGGTTGGCCCGCTGCTCCGGGTTGTCTGACGGATCCTCTGGCGGCAGAGGACGCAACCCTAGTGTCAACCGACGCGTATCGCGACGAGGGTCAACAGCCAACCGTGGCGCTTGTGAAGACTCTTCCGGGGGAGTATCAGGGATAGCTGGGTCAGGGCCCTTGCCATATGTTGGGTCGTTTTCTATCTGATGAATGTTCACGGCTGGGATAATGGGCTCAGGTTCTCCATTATTATCGTAGTCGCTCGCTGCATCGCTCAGAGGAAGAGATATTCTAGGCTTCGGTCTAGGATCTTGTAAAACAGGGTTTAGGCGTTCTTCCGTGCGGTCATGGATGTCGCTATTGCCAAAATTACTGGCGTCTTTGGGGCCATTGTTGGCAGGTGTAATCGACTCTTTAGTATTATGAGCTCCCGGGATGAGAACAGGGCTAGGGCTCCTGGGCAACTCGAATTGAAAGCCATGATCCGGTTGTACAATAGGATCAACTTGCATGTGTGCGCCATCATTGCCGGGAGATATATATAGTGGTGGACTGGATCGTGACATCCTTTGAGCGTTTCCCAATAAGCCTTGCTTCATATCATCACCGAGGGCGGCCTTTCTAGTTGATCCAGTAAAGCTTGATGCATCATCTTGAGCCCCTCTTGACTGCGATCTGACAGATGCATTGTCACCTAGAAACGAGGTCGCGTGCCGATATTTATCATCGCCGCCTATAGATCTGGACAAGGAATGCAGCGAATCCCGGGAGCCGTGCAGGCCTGGGGGTAGTAGGTAAGGACTCGGGCCAATATCCAATGAGATGCCCTTGTTGTGATTGTAACTCCCATTGGACTTTTCAGTCTGCCGCATCGCTTTTCCTCCACTCGTTGGCTCCAGATCCAAGCCGAAATCAAGCGATCTATGCTTGTCATTGGCATCTTCGTTCCGGAGCTTCCTCACATTTCTTCGATGTAGATAAATTAGGACGATTACGGCACAAAGTATCGGAACCCTATACTTCAATCAATTACCATCCCATATACAGATCCATGCGGTTTTCAATGAGCCAAAACTCTTTCTTTCTCTCTCTCTCTCTTTTTTTTTTTTTTTTCCAAGGTGTGGGAGGAGGGGGCTTGTGGAATCAGAAGGGAATCCCGACATACACTGCTCCCAGCACGACAGGTAGCGTCGTCGTAGTAGTCGTGCTAGTAGGTTTCTCGCATTTACTTGAGGTGTCTCCAGCTGAACAGGTCTGACTAGGGTCGGAATCCCTTTTCACAAATGTTGGTGTTTCTGGCATAAGATATGGTAGTCGATGACGAGGTACTGTATCCGGGCGATGTGGGGGGGATCGAACCACCATATGAATGTCATGGTGAGCTTGGTGTCGGTGGTGATAATGCATGATCGCCCGAAGCCCAGGTGCGATTGGGGCAACAGGCGGACTCAAAGGGTATGATAACACCAGATAGTACTACCCTTAGTCGTGCTTCATGTGTCCTTGGAGACCAGACAATATACGGCAAAATCACCTGGATACTTGTACACGTGAGTCATGAAAAACAAAGATTGAACAAGGCAAGATATCAGCGAGTAGAAAATATGATCAGTCGCATATATTAAGAGATGGCAGTTCTTAATAGAGTGGCTGACAGAGAACGACGGAATCAACGCCGAGAACACACTTGTTGCAAATGAATGAACAGAAGCGGGTAAGCTCCCTTAAACGAATGGCGGCCAGTGGCCAGCAAGGGCAATAACGAATGTCTATGATCTTAGTGAGGAGATCGCAGTTTGGAAAATGACAACAGGGAATGAAGAAGAAGGAAGGGGAGAAAAACAATAAATCGCAAAAACGAAAGAAGGAGAGGCCGAAGAAAAAAGCAAAAGGACAAGAAGGGGGAAAGTCAGAGAGAGAGAGGGTGAGCGTAAGAAAGAATAGGTAGTTAGTAGCGGTCTAGATGGCCTGTTTCGTTCTGTACCTACAGTAGGTTGTGGGGAAACACTATTGGGGTGTATCATCGAATAAGACAAGCGACAAATGGTACTGTACTGTCACTCGAAACATAGGTTAGTAGCCAGGTACTAAGTCTATTAAGGTCAGGCTAAGTTTCATCCCGTCGCAATGATCAGGAGAACAGTGCTAGTAAACAGTACAGCCTCTGTGTAATTGGAGCTAGTACCACTCCGTACCACTCCGTACCACTACTTACATACGGCTTACGGGGTCCCCCTGAATCATAGTGGTCCGGGCCATCATCAAGTAATGAAAAGCGGAGTCAAGAGCCATAGGGCAACAGTGTACTCCGTATAGATGAAACCCCTTAATAGAACTCTTATCCATCGATTGTGTTTTACTACGGTTACATACTTGCCTCTAGAAGCTACATCGCCTTGCTAATCAATTTTAAAGGTTCTCTGTATATATGCTGTTCCTGGAGAGCGCTGTATCTACATCGCTACATGCGTTGGTATTGAACATTGAGGTGCTTGTATCTAAAATAAGCGATCCCCTGAGTAAAAAATTCGGGAAAAGTGGATATGCCAAGATTTTTTAGCGTCAGGAACCCGCTCTGCTTTTGGCCAATATCATAATTGATTTGAAGCTGGCCCCCTTTCGGCGCCTGCCCCACCTATCACAAGTGGTACGAGGCCTGGTATGTACTCCGTATATTGTACATACTCGGTACGTCCTACTCCGTGCCTACTACTAGTAATATGTAGTACCTCAGTATCTTGTCGTACCTGATCAGCTAATGACTCCAGATAACTTAGTTATAACTAGTTCAAACTAACTATAACTATCTCTGTCCAACCAAATCGCCTGCTCCGTGCTTATCGTTGCTAACGTTTTAGGCCCCGATCACGCTGCCCACTTTTACTCGGGAGTACATATTACCAGCCTTCTGTTACTCTCCAAGTAGTACACATTAGGCGAAGGAATCCATCTATAGCCGTCTCTTAGTTTCGTCCTCATATCATCCAGTACTAATAAGGGCAAGACAACGGCGGACCCTGCTACTTGAAAGGTATTGTTGTGTTGACCTGCCGCTTCAGCTGCTCAACTGCCTTGCAATGCGGAGTATATATACCAAGTAGTTATTCGCTATCTATCGCCAGCCACTCACTTTACTAAGCAGCCACAAGCAACTCCCGCTACGAAGGCAGGTTGAAGATGGGGGCGGAGGGAAGGCATTTGTTGAACACCATACTTGCCTCCTTAGAGTAATACTGGGCTTGCTAGTAGTACGAGATTCGACCGTCTCACAAACAGCTAATGAGCCCAGAAGGACATTCACAAGTTTGCAGGATCCTTGCCGGCGAGTATGTATGTGCCGACAACAGCACGGGGGAGCGACTACCCTATCTGCTGCATCTGATATTACACCAGGGTAGACCTGAGCTGACTTCCATTGCAAAATACCTTTCATATTGAAATAGTCTCTTTTTTTAGTTAGTCGACCATGAGATTGGGACTCGGGAATTGCTCCATTCTACGTATTCCCGGACATTTCACGTCGCGAAATATCTCTAGGGGTCTTGTTGATTATATTGTGTGTTCTACTCCTAGACCTCTGATAAATTATATATATATCTCAAGGTCTCGCAACAAAACACTAACTGGCTATGTCACTCCATTGCCATGTTCTCTGTCGATTTATCTATCAATGGGGTGGTAAAAGTTGTTTGTTCGCTGCTCAGTTTGTGTCCAGTCTCATAGCTTCCACACCTGCCAGGGGTAGCAAATATACAGCGTATTTGTCACTAGTTAATTCATCTAGTCTTTCATAAAGCCCACAGAATAGGGCAATGGCCCCACAACTGCTATTCTGTATACAACAATAGAGCTGACAGGGTTTCTCTACAACTTCATTTAGTTGGTATTTTCTCAGAAGACCTAAATCTTGCTAGCTAGATAAGGGCAGGGATGTCTGCTGGTATTATGCAAGTACTTTTAGCTTTCGTGTTAAATGGTATTTTGAAAATGAACACTATCCACCGGTTGTTCTTGTTCGAAAAGCGGCGTAACTACGTTCATAAACCGAGAAACCGACTTGTACATGCCGAGAAGTAATAAGGGAAAGTGATATACCGATAGTGACTTTGAAGGATCAATTCACCAAGGGACTCGTCTGCACTTGCGAATCGGCCTAGTCTGGTAAACCCTGTCCATGTTGCGTCGAACATCTGTATAACACCCCGGCCCATCTTGCTGTGCTTGTTCATGACTATATATCCAATTGCTCTTTTTGAAAATATTCATGGGTGTAGCAAGGAAATAAGGTCGAGCCCGTTCTAATTTATAAAGAACTTTCTTTAAGAGATTAATTCCCCAGGGCTATAGTAATGAGCGTGCTGACTAGTCTTGATCCAAAGTATTGAGAAATGCGTTCTACGGGGCATCATAAGTCTATACATCTCTGTTTGTGTTAGGCATCTCCTATGGTAAAAGCGCTGCTACACGCTGTTACATTCTCCACCTCCCTCTTCATAAAGCCCTCTCTCTTCCCCTTTGCTCTTTTCTAGATGCTTACGAGGTCATCCTATGCCTTGCTGTGTGGACAAATTTCATGTTGGAAACCCTCTGATTACCTGCAAAATCAATTTACAAGTTCCAACGACCCTGCTGCTTATGGAATCATTAAGCTTTTAAATTTCTCACAAAGTGATGAGAACGATTGGAATATTTGACTTGTTGACATTAGTTAATCTTTCCCAAGTCTTCATCTAGAATTGACATGGTCTTCATGATGTGTCATACACGCCATTATCCATATTTCCTTCCCTTCCACCTAACCCTCGCGACCTTCAACAACATATCCGTACACTTTCCGAGTTGTAAGCAAAAGAAAAAGAAAAAGGAGGCAAAGTTAAAAGAACAATCGATGGAAACGAAAAAAAAAGAACCAGCGGGCTACCAACGTAACAAATGTCAGCCATGAATCTAAACTAGAAAATCAGTAAGACAGTTTTCAAAAAAAGAGAATAAGAAGGATCCAACATTGCAATGCTCTCACAAGGGTCGCCAAGGCATACAACGCAACGCTTCCAGGGGAAATATACACCAATGAGCACACTTGTACACAGGAAATCTATTCAAATAGAGAAACAGTCTCTTGAAAGACGAACTTTCTCGATGAAGAATGGCCAAGAAGACCAAAGAAAAAGGAAAAAGGAAGAGGCTATTTAGAAGGGAATTGTCAGAGTTGACACTATATCAGGTGTCCTCTTGCATGTTAGTCGTATGATAAAGACTTGAAACTTTTAAAATCGAAACAAAGAGATGTTAGAGTGAGGCTTGGAAGGTGGAGCACATCATGATAAGCAGAAAACTCGATGTATGCCTGTTAAGCAATGCAGTGCCTCTCAAAAGTCGAAACATCATCATTAGAAGATTGACTGAATATCCGGCTGAACGGAGGGACAGAATGATGCATGCTCTCATCGGACTCAGGTGCGACTCCCTCTGCTCTGCGAATTACTTCCTTGAGAGCACGGGTTACAACACCGGCTCGGATAACGAGGTCACGAAGGGACTGTGTATCGAAGGGGAGTTTTTTCGACCTGGGGGGTTGACAATCCACGAAGGATGAATCGCGAGATATTCGTTGCTGGTAGATCAAATCTAGCACCGAATTTGCCTTGACAGGGGTTTCCTTGTGATCAGAATCGGCAGTGATTTGGGTTGGACCTAATGGCTCAGAGAATGAAGCTCTCCAGGACTCTCCACTGGCTCGTTTGAAGGGTTCGTTCGTTTTGGCCGATTCTTCCTCAGAATCGTCAAAACTGAAGGTGAGAGAGGACGGGGAGCCCGGGGGGGAATGGCTATGTTCTTCATCATCAAGGGTAGCCAAGTTGACAATACTCTCTGCTTCTTTCCACAGTTCATTAGATGGTCCACGCACAATGTTCAAGAAACTAGCTTGACGGCGAAGGCGTTTGAGCTCTTCAACTAACAGGGTCAGCTCTTGAACCTGTCCAAACTGTCCATGAAGACTGGCTTGGCGTTCCATGATAGCCTGAGGGACTACCATGCTGCGCCGGGCAACGTTCTTGCTCGTCTGTATGCTCTCGCTGATTGTACTCTCGTCCGCATCCTCAAACTCGAAGTCACTATCCCAGTCTTCACTAACACCCTTGCTGCCTAACCCCCAAGTGCCAAACTTGCCTGATGTTTGCCGTGTCTCGTTGGTAGCTGGATACTCTCTCGATACCGGGACGCTTTGGCTCCGAAGATGCAAGGTATTTGGTGCTTTGCGGCCCGGGGCTCGACTACCTCGGAGCCCAGGCCCATGTTTTCCATGGACCGTGCGGGGACGTCCATCGGGCCCAGAAACTTCGCGGTCACTCCTGGGTTGTTCAGACCAGTCAAAAATATTCATCCTGGGGCAAGATTCAAGCATCTCATTTGCAACGCTGCGCGAATTGGATTTCGTTAAATCGAGAGGAATATCTGACCTGCCATGAGCGAACAAGAAATCACGGCTAGCATAGTCCCCCTCGAAGTTATTCAAAGACATTCTTGGATATTTCGACTGTTCGTCCAGTTTAACCAATTCTCCAGGTAATGCAGCTACCAGGCTATGGGTGTCTTCATCATCCGTCAAATCGGATGGGAATGATATTCTACTTTCCTCTTCATGCATATATTTTCCCTGAGGGCTAGGGAGAGAGACAGGAACGGATGTTAGCATAAGGTTGGAACGATTGTGACTGTCGTCAAACGGCTGAGAAGCGAAAGTATAATGCGAGGCGAATTGCTTGGCATGTAAGGACCTTTCGTCCGCATTGCTGAGTGGTGGATCTCTGTCAAAGATGGTCTCTACCCGAGGAGAATGCAGGCCTGAATTGCTGCTAGTGGTGATATGTGTGCGGATCGAATCGAAAGCGGTGTCGCTCAAGAAATCGGTCTCGTCCTCCTCACCCGAAGTGAAAATACGAGTATCGTCAGAGCCAATAACAGTTGAGGCAGGATCAGATGCGGCAATTGAATGTCGTTTCGGCCGCTGACGGATTGGGCCCTGCAAGACGGACAAAGCCACACCATCTGAAGTAAGTGGACGTTGCCCGGTCTCTCGCAGATATCCAATATCGACGCGAGAGGATGAGATAGCCTTTTTGCAGCTGGGACCCACGAACCCAGGCACTATAAATCCATCGGCTCGCGAGGCAATTAGAGGCCGGCGGAAGATGTTTGGGTCTGTGATGTTGCGTCTTGCACGCGATCGTGGCGACAGCAAGATGGCTCCTTCCGATTTCGCAAAAGGGGGAAGAGAGGCCGAAATTGCCCTCATCTTAGGACGGGCAGGTGCCGTACTGAGGGGCTTGTGAAAATCCGCTTTGTCTGGGGCTGGTATTGGTGAGTCGGAGTCATGTGAAACTGATATGGGTGGCTGGCGATGATTTTCCTCTGGTGCAAGGGATGTGTCTAACGTTCGGGAAGTATCATTCGGCTTGAACGGATCACGGAACTGCACTGGAGAGGTAGGCGTTGTCTCCGGCGAACTAGCCCCTGTAGAAAACTCCTTGTTTGTAATTGAATTTGCTAGAAGAAGAGCTGGAATAGTATCCGTAGATGGGAGAATTCGCCGTAGTCCATGCTCTTTTGGCTTGGTTGCAGTTGACAGCCTGCGTGCCAGCCTGTCCGGTATCACATCGTATGTGGCAGTTAAATAGGGCTGCCAAGCTATATCAACCACAGAGGATTCTCTGGTAGTAGGAAGAAATGGTGTATTCGCAAGAAGACTGGGCTCAAAGTTTAAACTATGAGTTGCCTTGTGTCTCAGGTGCTCAGACCGTTGATGGCTTGTGGCAGGTCTACGAAATAATGTTGTTGAAGAGGGCGAAGGCGCGTGCGCAAATTGAAAATGAGCGCTTGAAGGTTGTGATGGAGGCCGCTTGACGAGTTTGTTGGGTGCTCGGCGCTGACTGGAGGGGCGTGAATGGGTAGGGCTTGTGGGTTCGTTCGATGTTGGTGAGGTAGGACTTTGGCATGAGCTCCGGTTCCCTGGCTGAAACGACAGCCGTCGCACCCAAGAGGAAGACGGCCTTCGGGTATGCAAAGCCGTTGAGGAGTCTTCGTCGACTCGTAGTGGAGGGTTTGATAGAGTCTGACCACGACGCCGCAGTATAATCCCTGCAAGGGATGATTTTCTCCTGTGGTTTGGACATTGAGAGTGGTTCCCTGCGGCAGAATCGCCCCCACTCGCATAGAAAGCCTTGAAATGCGAGGCAGACCTTTTCTCTACTGTTGTTAATGCGGTGGAAGGGCCTGATTGTACGTCGTTGTCTAGCGGCGATCGAGGAGGGTCTGTCGCGCGCGCGCGCTGATCATACAGAGGGAGGGTCTTTTTTCGGAAGCGCGCCGGCTTGGGAGAATCTCGATCTACGCGACCGAGAGCAAAACCAGTTGCTGCAATACCAACAGTGCTGATTGCACAAAGCTGCGTGATAATGTATTAGTCAAGAACATTCGCAAAGCACCCAAGCTATGAGTGATTATCGGTGTAAATGCTTCACAAGAAAGACAGCAGTTCAGGGGATAAGAAAGGTGTTCAAAGGGGCGAAGAAGGAAATTGAAAGAAGAGAGCTCACAGTTGATACATGCTCCATCCTTAAAAGGCGCCGAGAATAGTGTCAAGCACCATGAAGCTCAAAGTGGCAACATCGATATTACATGTAATTGATGTCCCATCTGCATTATTATGCACGAGGAGGATCAGCTGGCTTAGCAAATCTAGATTGAGAGCATTTCAGAAAATCGAGGTGGTTTGAAAATTCTAGCCAGACGTTGTAGATATCACGGGTACGGTTGGAGGTGTTTTGGATGTCAAGCACAGTAAAGTCGATGTGCCTTTAGAGTGAGGGGAGCGGCGCGTGGCTGTTGGGAGAAAGGAATGCGAGGACAGCAATAAAGAATATAGTAAAGGAATGGGGAGTAAGAGAATATCAGAGCTGTGGCCAAGTATCGAGTAAAGTCACAGTAAAAAAGGAAATAATTATCCAAAGGCAGCTAGAAAGAGGAAGGCAGTAGATGAGAAACAGCAAAGGAATAATAATAATAATAAAATAAAAACAACAATAACAAGAGGCTATTGATCAACAAAGGCCTGAGTGGGACACACGGTCACTCTCTTTCCCACCCACGGGCGATGTTCTTCTGGTTCTAGTTTAAAGGAATGGATCACGCTAGGAGAGTGTCCACCCCCAGCACAACACCCACACCACCCGGCAAGGTAAATTCATTCAATATACCGCCATAGGGAGAAATATCAATGAAGGGCGAAGAGATATTTTCAGTTTACAGGAATAACAATAATTAGACGTACTATACAACTTTATGCCTTTTGATCGTAGAAAGAAGAGGGAGAGAAAGGGGGGGAAAAGAAGAAAGAAAGAAAGAAGAAAAACCCCAGACTGGATATGAACTTGGGGTAGGTATTGATATGTGGTTTTTTCTTTTTTTTTTCTTTTATATTTTCATTCTCCTTCTCCCTCATACCAGAGGTAAGGCATCACCCAAAGTTCAAAAACCAGCTGCCAGTCTAGCAAATTAATTATAGATATGAACATAAATGTCAAACCAAATGCCTTGTTCTCCTAACCACCCTCTCTTATGAAAGAAACAGTGACAATCAGCAATGCATAACTATAGAATATCTCTAATGAGTGTGTAATAGCCGCAGTATTAATTAGAAGGAACCTATTTGTATCCTAAATCAATTAAAGGATAAGAATAGTGACTTGTGACTGTCCATCATTAGCTGCAGAGAGGGGCAGACACCTGAGAAAGCAAACAAAGTTACAAATTCAAATCTTAAGGGATTCACTAGATCCTTGGATCCCTGTTTAGGTCTAATTAATAAAACAAGGGATTTTCAGATTTCTCACCCTTCCCCTGTTATTGTCATCATCCCTTACGGCTTGACTATTGGTCCAGAACATCGAACCTACTAAAGCTAGATAGGCGCTTTGATATATAGTTAACTGACCAGCTAAATTAGACCTGTGAGAAGGAGATAAGAATAGATCATTAGTATTGTCCTTGTCCATTCCTAGTGCTGCGGATGTACCAGCGCTAGAATGAACTCCTATACAGAATAAATAAAAGATTATATGACCAGGGAAGTAACAGTATACAGCGAGGCTCACCCCACTTCGAAGGTTAGTAATAAGGGTAGATTCGGAGCTCATTTCCTCCCTAGCTTGCCGAAAAGCAAATTCTTACAAAAAAAGTTAAGATGCCCTTTGACGAGATCATATCTTAGATCGTAAGGCGGTGATCGAACGCTACTAGGTACGGGCTACTTCGGTCGAAACCACTCATTCAAACTGGGACACCCACCGGTTACCGATGTTTGGCTTCCAGGGAATACTGAAGGGGACCACTCGGAGTAGACGGAATATTCTGGACTACTAGATCCAGGAAAATTCCTCTCTCTCTCTCTCTCTCTCTTTGATTTTATTTTCTTTAACAAAAACTAAAAGAAATATTTCCCATTCTTTCCAAAGAATGGCGACAGAAAGGGGAAAGGATCTCATACTCACCGCGCTTGTCGCTTTTCCGATTAATTTCTGTTTATTAACCATAGCGAAGATCGAGAAACGAGCACCTATAGAAGAAGCTTCAACTAAAGGTGAACCTCCTCCGTGTAAGTAGAAAGGGAGGCCATGACGAGGCTTTGTGTCTTTCAAGTGTCAAAATGCCGGGCCAACGGTACGCTGGTAAGCTTATTTGGTAGGACCAGAAACAGATCGGAAATGATAGATCTAATTTTCCAGGAAGGGAACGTGGCCTGCGAGTTTCTTGAATGGTAATAATTCCGACCTGAACTGTCGGTGGACGAAGTGGGGCCCGCTAAGAAAGTGTAATTAAATAAATAAAGACAAATTCATCTCGGCAAAGGAAAAGAGAGGGAGAGCTGAGAAATATACGGAGTACTCCGTATGTATTACGGGATTATGAATATGCAAAAATTGACTACCACTATCTTCAGCATGATAATCCACTTACCTAGGTACAACTCTTTCCCCCCTTTCCTTTTTAACCCTTGTAGTCAAATATTATCAGAAAGCAGAAGTCCCGCGGTGTTCCATTACCACCTGCACCCGTGACCTAGGCGTGGGCGGTTGTTCCAAGGAAGAAAGCGCCGCTCCGTCACTTTGATTGGACCAGCACTTATTTGATCCAGGACCCGTACCTAGTAGGTAGTTTTTACTAGGTACCAGCTCTACTAGTGAACGACTTACTTGTAGGTAGTATCTATGATGTAACCCATCTCTGGTGTTTTCCGCTCTTTATTGCTTGAACTCTACATGTGTTTCAGTTTGATCCCTTGTTTAATCCCCTTGCTCTACTACTACTACTAGTAGTACCCCGTACCGTCGGATCCTTCTTGAAACTCCCCAAGGCAGGTACACTTGCATCCCTTGCCTAGGCCCACTGCTAGACAGCATACAAGTATATCCTCGCAGTAGGGACCGCTTGATTACCCAGCGACCTTATAGATACATGCGCGTTGTGTGGTTGATAACTTGGGATGATTTACTACTCGTAGTTGAGAATTTGCCATCATCGAATATCTAGGGATTCCCCCTTTATTTCCCGTTCTTTCTTCCATCTCCATTGCCAGGTTCACGCAATTTTCTGCGACAATACTGATCATAGGAGATTCAATCTCATAAATCACTGCGATGCCCTATCAAACTTGTCCGACTCAACCGACACATCTAGTATAGACCATATTGCTAACCACCTTCTGGAGAGCGGATCAAAGTGGCTACGGCAAGGTGTTTGGTATATAATAGCTTTCTCAGTTCTGATGCTGGATTAAAGGTACTTTGTCGCGTGCCTCGCCTCGCCTTTCAGTCAACTACCTACTGGATAGAATGATTAAGGATAGGGGACCTGCAGTCCTGTCACCAGTTTTTCTTGGAATTTCCTGGGCTACATTACATACAGGAGGCCCTATAGTTTGTATACGCTGCCCCGCCGAAGTTCGACGGTTGCCAGTTTCCAGTTAGATTAGCTTGTAGCTTTAGAAACATCTTAATGGTTTACTACTGCAATCTGACTTAAGTGTTATCCATCATCATCATCATTATTATTATTATCTTCTTCTTCTCCTTCTTCAGTTACCCTTAGGAGATAGGTCGGTATCCTCTTGGTGGAAGAAATGACCTCTTTTCTATCAGGCCCCATATATGATATGAAAAGAATTGTCATAGATAGCTAATGGATTAAAAGGGGGTAAAACCAAAGCCTTCAGAGTAAGTGTACTAGTATCAGTGGCATATGAGATACAGTAAGTACGTAAACCCGACACTTGGTATAGGCATCCAGTCCGCCCGGAGTGACCTCTATGGAGGCGGGAGCGGGGAGACTTCTGTGAAAGATCAACCAATCCAGAACGGCGTCGGCTCCACTCCGCCCCTCCGCCAAAGTCACTTCAGCCAGAGCCGAAAAAAAAGAAAAAAAGAAAGAGAAGACACTCTATGATATTCTATAGGGTCACATAATCGCTCGGTGCTACAGCTCAACTAGTGTTCCTTTTCCTACTCTATACTCTAGATCTCTTCCTCACCTTCCAGGAGCTTTGCTCTTCGATATTAGTGATACCAAGATGGAGGCAGAACTCCAGTCACAGATTCCAGGTCTCGACCATGTGATCTCGGAATACTCTGTGGTATTATTCTAATCGAATTATGATACACGCTGAACATGGTGGACTAATGAATCATAGGGCTATCTGACACATGCTTCAAGGGCATATGTCGAGGACGCAAATGCCCCGTCACCATTGGCGGAAGCCGCTGACATGGTCACTGAGCTTCTGGTTTCTGCATCCGGAGACTTCTCCGACAAAAATGAAAAAGCTATTCGAAACTTAGTGGAAAAGTTCATTTCTTCTTTGAGTTCTGCGGACGGTGTCGATGCGGAGCGGAGGCAAATGCCATTCACTGCTAAGAAGTTAGATCAGGCCATCAATGTTGGGTCCCAGAGAAACATGTCCTCAACTTTGGGACTTGCTGGTGGAAATGTCGACCTGGAATCTGCCAACAGCAGGAAAGTAGAGTCCCGTGTAGACCGCAAGAAGCTTGAAAAGGCAGAGCGAAAGATCCGTGCCAAGCAGGAGAAGAAGCAAATGAAGATGGTGCAATACGAATCGTCCCGTCTCCTCGACCAGCCAGATAGCACCATGTCTTATGAGGAGTTTTTCATGGCTGTTAACCCGCTCCAGCTTGGCTCAGATTCTGCAGCAAAGAGCAAGGACATTAAGATCGATAGCATTGATACCTCTGTTGGTGGTCATCGAATCTTGACCGATGCTTCTCTTACCCTGGCGTACGGTCGACGGTACGGTCTTGTTGGTCAGAATGGTATAGGAAAGTCTACTCTTCTGCGGGCCTTGAGCCGTAGAGAAGTCGCAATCCCAAGCCATATATCGATTTTGCACGTTGAACAGGAGGTATGCATTCAACATCATTTTTCCTCGCCCCCTCCGTTTATCATCATTCTTTGATTCGATTTGCTGTACCATTCTGACGATTTTAACTAGATCATGGGTGACGACACTCCTGCTCTGCAAGCGGTTCTGGACGCAGATGTATGGCGAAAGCGTCTTCTCGCAGATCAAGATGTCAGTATTGCTTGTCTTGATAACCTTTGTCCTCAACACGTCCGTCCCTCTGACCTAGTTTGCAGAGAATTACGAAACAATTGACTGCTCTAGAAGCGGAACGATCCTCGATGGCAGACACATCTACAGATGCTGCCAGGCTTGATCACGAAAGGGAGGGTTTAGACATAACCTTAAGTGATATCCATTCCAAACTTTCAGAAATGGAATCAGACAAAGCCGAATCGCGAGCTGCTAGTATCTTGGCTGGTCTTGGATTTTCACCCGAAAGACAACAGTTTGCAACAAAAACCTTTTCTGGTGGTTGGAGAATGAGATTAGCTCTAGCGCGAGCTCTATTCTGCGAGCCAGACTTACTTCTTCTAGATGGTAAGCTCTTATTGCTACCCCACCCATTGTGAAGGAGTAGGAGTCTAAAATGATACAGAGCCCTCCAACATGCTGGACGTTCCGTCCATCACATTCTTATCCAACTACCTCC